CTAAATCCCAGCTGCGCAAAAGTGCAACACACGGTGCAATTCTCTATGATTTTCACCCTGTGAATCTGATTGTCCCAAAAGAATATGGAGTAGGCTATCCAATCGTACATTTCATAACAAATATAGAGCTGACGAAGACACAGGCAACCATTAGTACGCAAAAGTGCAACACACAGTGCAAATCTCTTCGACTTTTACCCTATGAACGAAGGAGGATATTAGCGGGATCGCTTAGTATTCTCCCTTTAACTTGAACAATAAAATGTTATAATATTTCTGTATTAATATTATTATTTCCTCGAGTGTTGTAATTATGGTGGTGGATACTTTTTTGTTGGTTTTTCTTCTAAGCTGCTACAGCAGGACAATTTTCTTAGTTTCATTCCGAGTTGCAACCTCGCCCACTTTATTGATTCTAGATGGATTTTTTGGACTGGGTGTTCATCGAACATTTATGGTTGTACGTTCTATGTGCGAACACTCTCCCCAAGAATTAATGTGATTAAAAGTGTTTCAAAACGCGTGTGCTTCCTTTATTGTCATATTTACCGTAAAGACGAAATGAGGGAAGGAATTAAATGTTATCTTAGGCAGGTGTGTGCGAGTGTTAACTCTATATTTAGGCATGTACTGGTATGTATTCGTGTTATGATGGCTTTGACCCTTCCAGATATTTTGAGAAAACCAAAGTAATTGTAAGTCATTACAAGTCCGAGACGGAATCTATGGCTCCTCACTTACTACATCAAATAAAAGTGACCCACATACTGCGCGCACCAATCTCTGAAGGAAGCCAACACGTTGTTTTCTTTAATTCAATCACACTCCGCCTCCCCGCCGTCAAGCGCCCTTCAAGCGCTGGTGTCCCCCGGAGCCTCTACAACCGCATCGCGGGAAAACTAAAAAGTTCTAGATTAGGAGCCATCTTCACTGAAGGACATCATCACACTTTATATGCGTCGTAAGATAAAAAAAAAAAAACAACGATATTCCATGAGTGGTTGATTGTTAAGGTAACTAAAATTTTAATTGGGGTTTCCTTCATACCTAAGTCGAATACTGTAGATAAAAACTCGTGACAACGCGTGATGTACAAATTAGAGCGCTCGGTCATGCCACCCCTAATCAAGGTTTAAATTTTAAATTCAGCGCCTCTTTAGCTTGGGCTACGAAGTTCAAGAGGTCACACGGGATCCGACAGCGTAAAGTGATTCGGTATATAAAATCGGCCAATGCACTCTCATTCGATAAAGTTGAAGAAATTGCGACAGAATTCTAAAATTGTGTGCGAGCGAAAATTAAGGACTTTAGTCCCTCGATAGTGATCGACGACGACCAAACCAGTATTGAGTATCGTGCTGAGGTTGCTCGTGCGCTTTCTTTCGAGGGCGAAAAAGTTACGGAAGCGTTCATCGGCTCGCGTAACAGAGTGACGCACCGATATACCGCAGAATATGCAGTAACTGCGGGTGATGATTTGGTCTCGGTGTACCTGTTCATGCAGGAGCCTGAGAACAAAGGACCCATCGTTCAAGTGAAATTATCGGCGAAAAGACTCAGAGAAGACAGGATTGAGTCTAATTTTGTTACAGATGGGGCACTTACGTGTCGATAACGGCGCTTGCGTCACACCTAGCTCGAAATTCTGAGGCTGTCGCTATTGCCTATTGCAATGATCAAAATCCTAGGTATCAGCAAATAAGCGTTATACAAAACTCAGCAAAAGCTGCCAAATTTCTAGACAAATTACCACCTTCAGTAAAAACCAAGATGTCTGATCCATCTTTCGGAAAAACGGGGGAAAAAAAATACATGATTCTTAAATACCCTTATAAAGTAAGTGACTGATTGGTGAAAAATGGTAGTGAAATATTATATTGCTTTTTCCATCTATTGTAAATTTTTTCTTCTACTTTCTAGGAATACTTAATAGAATTGTTCTTACGACGTATTTGTGAAGCCGATGTGCATATACAAAAGAATAAATTATTATTATTATTATGAAAGTGAATCAACCGGTTGCTGAGTACGGGGACGAGGTAGTGTCATGCTTCTATCCAACCCCTCACGCCAAGCCATTTTTTAATAGGAAGACCACTCAACTCGCTACCGGTATACTCTTTTGATGACGCAGATATTCCACGTTTACGGCGTTGGCATTTAGTTGAAGGAATGTTTCAACAAATTTGGAGACGTTGGCAAAATGAATATATTCACTCGCTACTCCCCCGCGGAAAATGGACCAAAGACTCTCCAAATCTAAAAGTAGACACGCTAGTCCTCGTTCAAGAACCAAACCAACCCCCGCTTTCTTGGAAATTAGGGCGTATCGCTAAAGTTCACCCCGGTGCAGACGGCCGCGTAAGGGTTGCAACCGTACGCACAGCCACAAGTGAATATATGCGTCCTATACATAAATTATATCCGCTGCCGCTTGAGGAATAATTTATTTATTTATTTTCTCTTCGAGCTTCCAGTTTCCATGCGCAACGAAAGTCCCGCCAAACCGCTATTTTAATTTATTTCATTATATTTTATATTTTCTACTCTTTTCTCAAAAAAAAAAAAAAAAAAAAAAACGCTCGCACGAAGGAATTCAAACGTAAAACTAGACAGACACGCACATCCAAAATTTATTTTTACATGATAAGCTCGACGCTAAACCAACACGACGTACGCTTTCAGAAATGTCGGATTCAGGCTCTTCTTCAAGCGCCGAAACGGTCATCTCGCTCTATGCACCGTCGGCCGACCTGCTCGAGTGCCGATCCCCGCAAGAACCCGCTCCGGAGGGCTGGCAATGGATGACCGGACCAGGCAATTGCCTCCCGCGCCTAGTTAAAAAATACCATCTCCAGACGTTCGCGGAGGACACAACCCCGGTACCGCAAGAAAGCACTCCCTCCGCTTCTCATTTCGCTACCCACCCCGCTACTTCTGCCGCCATCCTACCTGTTATTTCTCCCGCTAATCAACCCGCCCCCCGCGTTAACCCTCCACCAATCGCTACCTATCGCTCAGGCCAGCCACCGGCCGCATCCGCCTGTAATTCGGCTATTCGGGAAAATTTACAAAGGATATTTTCGATGGTTATCTACAAACGGTAATTTAACCATATGTGCGACGGTGAATTTATGTTCATTCTGGACTCGTGGGGTGGGAAAATCTACGTCTCCATGCTGCACACGCCTTCACCGAAGGCAGGCAGACGGACGATTTCTATTGGAATTTTATCACCCTTGTGCACTTCTTTGTACCAGCCGTGCGACGCTTACTTCTTTCTTCAGGTGAAGTTTTTTATCAAAAAACTCAAAAATTCTACTGAATTATTGAAAGAGAATAGCCAAATTCACTTCCGCGAGGACGCGATTAAAATAAACACAACAGTCCATCACCAGTTCAGCTCACCTGTTTTTCGAGACATGATTCGGTGTGCTTGGTTCAAATCGCACCTCATATCCGATAACCCATTCTTCCGCAAGGTAAAGGAAAGGAAGTGTGTTTCCCCGATAAAGTAAGCAAGGAGAAATGTCCATGCGAAAAAAATCGCATTTGTAGTCCGTGCTCGGTGCACCCTTCCTCTGTACTTTCACGACTTCGACGACGAGTATCATCGTGAAAGCTGCTCCTCAGCATTGCAGTAGGCGGATTTTGTCATTGTTTCGCCTGCTTTCTCTTCGCCCAGGAAAAACCATCGTTTCGATCTATGTATTAAGTGTGATTTAAGGTGGAGATATGGTGCTGGGTCCTCAACATTCCGCGGGAAAATCACAGCCAACAAGTTAAAAAACAATTAAAATTAGAGTCAAAAATAAATTTATTAAACTCTAATGAGTAGCTTCATGAACTATGTGACCTTATCCGACAATCAATTCGGATTTCGGAAACAAAGATCGACCACGCATAGTAACAAAGAAGTCCCATATGATAAAAGGAAAATGCTGTGCATTATTGGTATCGACATCCGCAACGCGTTCAACAGCCTGCGCTGGAAAGATATTATCAGGGAACTGAAAAAAAAAACAAAAAACAAAACAAAAAACAAAAACTCTAATGAGTACCAGTACAAAACTGAGGAGGGGGAGAGTGCTCCAAGTTTCATGGATATTGGGTGATAAAACATTACCGCGGAGTTGAAAATACGACTTTTATCGCCAACTTTGGGGGGAGTGGCGGCGTGGCCCCCGGGGAAAGCTTTTTGGGAAAAAAGATAATACCACGAACACGTCTTTTTTTGACCCGAAGAATCGACTCCTTCAATATTCGTACTTAATCCTGGGTCACCATGTATAAACCACACTGGAAAAAAAAGTCGCTTGAATCTAGAGTCCAGACTTTTAATAACAGTGGCAATAAAAAATCCTCTTTAAATCAATCGGATTTTCCTTTGAATCGAAGATCCAAGCCTCTTGATTTAAGCGGATTTCCTTATAATTCAAGCCAAAATCCGATTGAATCAAGAGTTTTTGATCTTGCCGATGTTTTTAAGAGTCTGGACTCTGAATCCAAGTCACTTTTCTTTATAAAAAAAAAAGTCAAAATCACTTTATCAAGATCCACCTCTCACCAACCCCAAACCCTCCTCTCCAGCCGAAGAAATACCTTGTGGTAATTCCGGCGTATCTCGGGAAGTTAACTCTTAACTACTTTACTCTTATACTCATTTAATTAAATATTTGTACTTGTGTATGTATAACTATGTGTAATAACTATGTATTTATAATCATTTGCTATACTACACTAAATACTAGACTATACTTTTACATATTACTTACTATACTTTTACAGATTAACACGAAGTACTTTGGCTTATCCATCATCTTTGTAAAATCTCTTGTTGCCTTACAAATAAATAATTTCTCTTGACAAAAAAAAAAAAAAAAAAAAAAAAAAAAAAAAAAAAACACTTTTTTCCAGTGTACAACGTGTCTACTAGCTATCTGTCTTCCTATCCATCTGATTATCTGCTAACTCATATGTCTAAATCTCGCCTGTTACAGGGAAATCCACTGGGATTGTGACGAACACGCGGATAACGCACGCGACGCCGGCGGCGCTGTACGCCCACTCGGCGTCCCGCTACTGGGAGGACGACGCCAAGATCCCGCCGGCCTCCCGCAAGTCCTGCAAGGACATCGCCCGCCAACTCGTCGAGGACGAGCCTGGCAGGAACATAAACGTGAGTACGCCGGTAACGAAAATAATCACTCGCTGGGCTGATTATTGAAATGCAGATGTTGCATGTGTGAGGGATTTGCGATTCGACAATTAGAAAACTGCCCAAAGGAGTTAGTTAGTAGTAGCAGGAATTTACGATAGAATCGACATACAAAAACAATAATAGAACAATAACAAATAAATAGTTAAGTACAATAATAGAACTTAAAATGAGTTGGTTTAGTTTTTTTTCTCTCTCTCGTAGAAGACAAATGGATGGCAAGGAAGTCGGTGAGTGTTGTTTTACATGTAAATAAGTATTGCCCGTTACTTACTCGCATACTCTACTTTTAAGCAATTTTAAGAACAATGCGTATCATTCTTGTTACAGGAACGCATTTACGAGAAAAAAACGGGGGGAGTATTACTTATTGTAATTTATTGGCTCATTTTTCTGTGCTATGAAAAGATCTGAAAGTCCACCAAGACTAAAATAACAGTTCAGTTCAGCTTGCCGTCGAGGGAACACGGTTCCCATCTTCGGTCCTTTTTTTTGAGGTTAGAAGCGTGGTCTCGTGGTATTTCGCGTGATTTTGAGAGTTTTGAGAGTTTGTTAATCTTGGAATTGGTGTTGAATTGTGCTTTTTATTAGAAAAACTTCACTATTTCACTATACTTTATAAAATTGTTCTTCGGAGTTAATGTATTCTTACCATTGCAAGAATTGTGTGAATGTGGTATGAGTGAGTAACCTAGCATTAGTAGTAGGCCTGAGAGTATTTTTGGAGTTTAATATTGTTATAATTGTATAATCTATATAAAGTTGTAATGGGGGAAAGATTAGAAGATGGAAGTAGGGGATTGGGGGAGAATAGAAATGTGGGTAGTAATCAAAGGGAAGTTCGGAATATGAAGGTTAGATCAGGGAGTGTGAACAGCGATGCGGGGATAGGATTTGACACTCCTAGGGTTGATCTACCGCAACGCTGCAAGAGTTTTGAAAGGTTGGGGGAAGAATTGAAAGGAAATACAAAAGTCAAGAAGCTAAAGTTAAAAATGGGCAGTGAGGTAATTGGGCAAGAGAGGGTTCTAGAAAAGGAAGGCAGGGTTGAGAAGGTATTGGGGGAAACCAGCAATAGACAAATGGGGGATCTGGATATGGAAATTGACAAGTTAGATAAGACACTGATTGGGTGTAAACTTGATGATGATGATATTTTTGATGAGGATATGTTGCTGATGGGGAGTACAAAGAGAATGGACCTAATGAATACAGTGGTGGGTAAGTGTGTGACATGTGATGGTAATATAATCATGCCGCGAAAGTTTGCCTTTATAAAAAGGGTGAAAGGAAATCGCAGCAATTACTTCTCGGAAAAGTGAGGACTTCCAGGGTGCGAGTGACCTGTAAAAAAAAAAGATCCGTGTATTCACCAGAGGAGGCCCTTTATATGATGGTGAGGCTCAAACTTTCAAAGCTGGATTATCAGATTTTGAGAAATGGAGCCGTTAGTAGGGGTTCAAACCTGTATCCCGCATACAACAAAGTGAGGTTGGCAAAGGAACGTTGCATACCATTAGAGGAGAGTATGGTGATAACTCCAAAAACTGCGGAGGTTAAAGTTTAGAATCTACTCGATCACACAGTATCCAGAATTATTGAGACACAGAAGGACGTCATAAAGCAAAAAATGCATTTATTCGATCTGAACACTCACACATTGGATTGTAAGTGGGGTTTTGATGGAAGTTCGAGCCAGTCTAATTATAAGCAATTATTTCTAGGAGAGGAACCATTTGATGATTCGAGTGTTTTTATTTCTTCTATGGTACCACTTCAACTTTCAGCTCAATCTTTGGATGGAAGTTCAGAGTTGATCATCTGGAGAAATCCTAGACCCTCCAGTGTCAGATTTTGTCGTCCAAACTGTGTTGTTCCAAACTTCGAACCCGTTGTAGACATCAAGTAGAGGTAACCCTACAATTTTCATGGACATTTTCGTCATTTTCCCAGACAATCTCAGGATTTCCCTGACATTTCCCGGTATTCCCTAACTGTGGCATCCCTGAACTGGAAGATCCCCGCCCCACCAACGGGGGAGGGGGGTGGGGGTGTACCAGGATTAGCTGGAGACTTTTCACTACGATAACAAACCGATGGGAATATTCCTGCCCCATTTCGAGAGTTTGAGATCGCTGCTGATCGAGATCGATATCGCCTCCGATTTTGGCATCGTGCCACTGAAAAAAAATTATCTGCGTTTTTACCAAGGTCGGTTGGCACCTTTACCATATCACTTTTTTTCCCCAATTATTGGTAATTTTACCAAGACAGACTGGTAAGCTTACCTAAAAACCGGTATATTTACTGTTTTTTTCAGGTGAGAATACCACTTTTATTGGTAATCAATTCCCGGTAACTTCGTCATTCTATCCCGGTAATTCTACCACAGTCGATAAAAAATATTGGCGTTTTAACCAAGGTCAAGTAACATTACCAATTCCATGAATGGTAACTCTACCAAAAAAAAAACTGGGATCAAATGGAACCTTGCATTCTTGGTAATTTTACCCTTTTCTCAGTAAATTTACAGAGATTTTTTTATCAGTGTGGCAACGTGGAGGAGCAAGGGATGCGACCGAGCAATTGATCGGAAACAATCGCTGAAATATACGCTTTCGGGGTCCGAGCGCGAGGCGGGAGGAATGCAGTCGACCCGCGCATACCACAACCCGCATCCTCCCTCCTTTTCCTGTCGCGTCCCTTACTTTCTTCCTTTTTAATTGAAACCCTCTTCAAACTTCCGACTTGAATGCGAAACTCTACTCGCTCCCGTACAGTGTCGTCTAGCGTGAGACTCGATCCGGAGCGAAATCCAGATCTTGAGACACGCGGTCGATGCCGAGCGGATCTCGCGGAGAAAATTTTCGGGGGTAATTTTTTGTTGAGTGAATGTACAGAAAAGCGCATCTCGCGTGCTTTTTTAAATTGTTGACCACACTGGAAAAAAAAACACATTGGATCCAGAGTCCAGACTCTTGAAAACATTGACAAGAAAAAGGACTCTTGATTCAATCAGATTTAAGCTTTAATCAAAAGGGAATCCGCTCAAATTAAGAGGCTTGGTTCTTGATTTAAGCTCAAGTCTGATTGAATCGAGGGTATTTTTTCCGCCCCCATCTCTTTGTGATGCTTTGCCACGAAATTTTGCAGCTGAAAATCGATCGGAATTTAAGATTTAGAGCTTTTACAGCCGGACAATCAGGCCGGTATGGTGATTGTAATCGGTTAGTCAACTTAATGTCACTAAAAAATGTCACACATAAAAATGAAAAGACTGCATTACATCGGCACGAAGAACATTTAAATCATCGCTTTGACTTCGAAGGGGCTAAGTAGTTTACTCCCGTTAGGTCATAGGTTAGATTTTTCTTATTCTTTACTTTAGATTTTTCGTTCTCATAACTCTGTTCATCCCTTTTGTCATCCTTTTAATCTGAATTTAGTTTTGCGTGCTAACTATGGCGGATGACCGTAACATGGAAATTCCGCGTCAATCGTTTCTCATCAACTTACCCCCGTAGTTTGGAGGCAGGCATCGCCGTTGGGGTGGATTCCAGTTTACCCGACGACATCAAGCTACCCATATTGGTAGGCGCAAATTTGCCCAGAGCCGTGTCAATGGCGGGTGCCTGGGCCCGACAAAAATTCAGTGCGCAAAGTCCAGCAGCGCGTGCCATGGCCGCCGTGCTCTTCGGGCTCTGCCGAAAGGTGAATGGGCTACCGGACGGTGACTGGATGCCGGTCAACGCCCCACCGGATCGAATTTCGTTTTGACACAAAATATGGCGTTTATCGATTCCTATCGAATTTTTTCAGGATCCGCGAGGCACCACTCTCCGCCATCAATGCGTTTCTTGAAGGAGGTCATCGTCCTATCATCTCCTGAGCAGAAAACACCGCTGAATGGCAGTAATATCGACTTTTATTTGACCTTGACTCCTGATTTCGTGTTCATTGATTTCATTTCTGATTTCGCAGGTGGTGTTGGGCGGCGGACGGCGGCACTGGCTGCCCAAGGTGGCGACGGACCCTCAGTCGACCAAGGACGAGGGCCGACGTTTGGACGGGCGGAATCTCATGGAGGACTGGCTCCGGGATCGCAAACGAAGGGGCATTCCCGCCGAGTACGTCTGGAACAAAACTCAGCTCGACAACGTCAGCCCTCTGCACACCGACCACTTACTAGGTGGGTTATTGCAAAGAAGAGAGTGGTTTACTGCGGGCTGATTATAAAAACTGATAGACAAAGCTATAGACAAAGAAGACATAGGGAGTATGGAGCGATCTTATTGGTTGACATGGTTGGTTCTTATAGACTAAGGAAGAAAATGATGGACTAACTGTCGGGTCTATAGTGGGTTGTTGTTAGTTAGTCCATTACCTACCTCCTATGTCCATTGCCACCACATGCTTCCACCAATGGGATCCCTCCAAATCCTTTTTGTCGTCTTTGTCTATAGCTTTGTCCATCAGTCTCAATAATCGGCCCGCTGATTATTGCAAAAAAGAGAGTAGGTTTCTCTATCATATTATCATTGATACGTTTATACTACGAATTAATTCTTGTGAAATGTTTCTTGTGATTAGTTCCTTTAGAATGCAGAACGTATTTACGAGAATTCGTTGACAAGTAGTCTAAGTCAAACGGAGCTGAGTCGAATTCGAAGATACTTTCTGGGTCAAACAGACATAATTTACACAAATAATGAGAATATGATCTTCAGTGTGAGGGCAACCTCATAATATATCAGGGTTTCCTTCTAACTACGATGAGAAATAATAAAGTCTTCACAAAAACAAAGAAGAAGAAGAAGAAGAAGAAGAAGAAGAAGAGATGTTATGCAAAAACGAAGGTTTTTGCGTTTGGCCCAGATATTCCAGACCAAATTTTCATCAAAAACCAAAGTCTGTCATCGGTGTCAAACTCGCTCCTAATGTAAACAAACGAACGGCGACATAGTCCGGACATAAACAAAGAGCGTACTCAGAGCGGACTTCCTCGAGATGTTCCGGACTCAATTTCTCAGCGTTAGCGTTTCTTCACCTCGACAAAAGAACTTTCGTCCGCGTCTAACATTTATCCCTTTCGTAAAATCAAATATCAGTTACCCCCTTGATCTGTTCATGGTGATTTCAAGTGAAATTGCGGCGAGATACTCCAGACTCCTAATGTAAACAAAGCGGCCTGTACCTGGTCGAGATGTTCCGGACTCATTTCTTCATTTACGTTTCTTCATCTCGACCAAAGAAGTTTCTCGCGCATTCAAAGTAACATTTTCCGGTTCCATTGTTAGAGAAGAAACAAGCAATTTTGTTGTAAGTTAGGATAATATTTGTGTTGATTAAGTGGCTTGAGCATTGGACTACCTGGCTGCGCCTTGCATAGCTGCCTCTATATCAAGATGATTGGGAGAAAAGCTTACTGGTTGATGTGCGAATCTGAATCCTAAATCCCTAGGAACGGTAGTTGTGAAAACCAGACGGATGTACAATGCTAGGTACCTTGCTCCTCACTCACTTTCTCATGGATGTTCGCTGGTCTCTCCAAGGTGCTGGTTTTGCGATGCGTTGAAGCCAATGCTTTAAGTTCAGCTATAACAACCAGGCTTCGGAGATACTAATTAACAATCCTAGCAGTCACCAAATTCTTCAGCAAACCCGCATAGTTGTCTATTAACAGCTGAAGAAGCAATGGAAACCGTATTTACCTATGACAACAAGATTTTTTCCGTTGGAACTCTGATAGTAAGTATGAGGGGGAACTATCACCTTTAAGGCACGTTTCTCCATGAATTTTCTTGTTTTTTGGCATCAAACTAAGTAGAACTCAAGGAAAATGAGGCAAAACTTTACAAGTTACCATGTAAGGTTCATCTGCTGAAAAAATAGAATAAAGTCTAAAATTCCTAATGAACATCACCAAGATGGTTCTGCCACCAGCAGTTCATTTCTTAAGGCACGGATCAAATACGGTTATCTATTATTCTCACGGTGCCCATCAAATTATAGGTAAGAAACCTAGTCCTGTAATAATAATGGCATGGAATGACGGGCTCTAATTGGTGACTTGACCATCCCCAATAAGTTATCGAAAGAATTTACTTCTTAAAAGATCCTTTGCGAGTAAAGCCAAGTAAATATGCAGATAAAAGTCCCGTGTGATATGTGAAGTGTACTTATTCAAAGTAATTTCAAAGGGAAGGGATGAAATGTTCAAAAGGTAACGTCCAAATTTGCAAAGTTGTAGAGGCGCTAGGCACAAATTGGACAGGGTGCCGCTAAGTAATGATTAAATGAATTTTTTATTGTTATTAATTACGGAAAAGAGGAAAAGAGAATCAGGCCGAATGCCTAAATTCGAAAAGTGTAGGGTGGTGCAGGAGCCGAACCTTCTTCGAGATTACGGGCGGTGAGCGGCAACCTGATTGGCTACGAAGATTGCCGAGCATGGCCGAAGGCCTACTCGCCGCTTGGTAGGTGTTGACGGCGGTTTGACAAACAGCAGTTTTTGGTGAAATGTGGTCCGGAATATCTGGGCCAATCTGTTCACTCAAAAACGAAGACTATATGTTTGCTTGAATTGTCTTCAAATATTGGTTTTCAAAATTCGAAATCTTTGAGTAGTTGTTCACATCAGCGAAAACTGCGAGTTCTGTACTCGACTCCAGTACTCGCAGCTCTTTGAACGGCGTCAACCGGGAATTTGCAGAAACACAACTCTTTTTTCCGTCTTGAAGATGATTGTTTCACTCTTCTTTTGAATATATCTTTGACGGACTATTGCGACAAATGCACAACACTGATGGCCAATTTAAAAAAATACGTAAAGGCATTATTCGAGGGTAAACCGCACTTGTTTGGAGGAAACTCGGCAGTCCCCCAAAAAAATTGAATTTTAATAAATTCAGGGAAGTAAGAGTATTTATTTAAAAGCTATGTTAAGTTGGATTCAAATTTTGAATTTTTTTAATTCGTTTCATAAAACCTGATTTTGCGATTGTAAAGAAACAATTGAAATTTCAGAAGGTCCGGTTTTAAATTATGCGTTTCATACATAGGAGATTGAATGTGAAGCTTTAAAACCCGATGCTTGAGTGTGTTCAATTTGTGGAAATTATAAATTTTTCACTAATTTTCCGGACATTTCAAATCCTGGCCCCATCCGGAAAATATCAAATTCACAAAAAATGTTTGCGGGAAGTACGTACGGTGAAATTGATTCACAAGAATTAGCACCGAGAATTTTTTTCTTCTCCTCAAAGCGTGCCTCCACAAAATGCCTTCAATCGGTCGGTTATACTACACACACGCACTGGAGTTAATTAAGTCGCATGCAAGCCCCTGCCTGTTACAGTCAGGTTCTCTCTCGCGTTCAAGCGGTTGAGGCGGTGAGCCGGCTAGGTTTTATGTTCAGAGGCTTGAGGTGATAATAAATAGCGTCGCCAGGAATGATATCTGTAAGTGCTATGAGTCTAGGCACTTTTCTCCACCATAGGCTTCCACATAACATCCGATTCTTCAAGTGATTCTCAGTCTGGCACAACTGTCAGATAAATTTTTCCTGTTGATGGCATTCACCTTATTCAATTTGTAACTACTAATTTACCCATTAGATGTATAGCCTTGTAAAAATACATAGAGGAAGGAGAATTGATAAAAAACAGAAGAACACAATAAAAACAAGCGGGAAAGTTCTAATACTGTCGTATTAGAAAAGCGCTCAGGTGTTAGTAAATGTATTCAATGAAGAAAGGACGTATAAACTCCGTCGACTTGGCTGGGTAATGGAAATAAAACATCAGGTGATAGCAAACAAAGGTTATCAAGGAAACCGTAAACGCGTATTTTCGTTTCCCGAAAATGACAGCCACCGTTGAGCTCATCAGGCGCGTTTGTTTTAGGCTTCATTTCAGTTCAACGATCAATTTCGATAAGAATTACTCAACCGCTAAGAAATTTTCTTATAGACAAACGATCGAAACTACCTGCGCATTACGTTAAAACCATAATATACGGTTTTCACAACTTTATTTATTTTAAAAATGGACCCCCCCCCCCCAAAAAGCCTACACATCGATGAGCTGTTGCGCCATGCAAGTCGAAATCAAAAAGCGCTGCCTATCGGCTGAGCGCTTAAAAGGACCCACGTTTGCCTTTGCACTACGTTACCGGAAGGGAAATGATATCAGCTCGCTGCTGTGACATCTTTACCCTAAATATTAACTAAAAACTATAACTATTGTAAACTATTAACTAAACTATATTAATGATCTTAGTTTCTGTGTGCATTTGTTTCAGGCCTTTTCGCGTATTCTCACATGAACTTCGAGGCAGATCGTGACAAGGGCCCAGACGGCGACCCTTCTTTGACGGACATGACGCTCAAGGCAGTTTCGATTTTGTCACGAAACCCCAGGGGATTTTTCCTCTTCATTGAGAGTAAGTACAAAGAGGAGACTTCCATCCGCGTGAACTTTCTACCTTTCCTTTCGCGTCAAGTTCCAAAGATTTGGGATTTTTCAAACTTGATTAACTTAAATCTTCCTATATGTGAACCAGACGAAAGGTTGATGAGAAAAACCGATTGGGGGGTTTCAAAATCGGCTGCGATTGGTCAGGTTTCAAAATTGGAAGCGACCATTGACGTTGCGAAGAAAGTTGTGATCATTGACATGATGAGCATAGAGCTCAAAATGCATGCAGAATAAAGGAATGTCAACGACAGTTGCATTTTAAAGTATCTTATTTTTAACAAAAAACCGCATCAGGCAGAAAGGAGCCAAGCTACATCAGCTACTGTCATGTTAAATTGGGCAATTTAGTTTTGTCATGAAAAGGGTTGCGCGGAATTAAGTGCTAATTTCAGTAAATTTTCTGCAAGGCACGCGGCAAATTCCTCAAATGTTTTTAAGAAATTCCCACGAACATTCTTCACTAGAAAATGGAATTGCGCCCGAATAAATTTGGCAGTAGGTGCTATGGCTTGGTTCCGTTCTGCTAAACGCGACCCATCCTAGATGCAGCATACACTTCCGAGAGATCAATTAAATTTTCCGGGAACCGTTCGTGTCCCCAGGGACCTAGTACGAGTACGGCCAAAGTTAGTCTGCATCATTTCGATATTTAAGAATTTCCACCGCCATTGTGTTTTTTTACGGAAAAATTGTTCAACGGCTGTCCGAAACTTTCATTGAATTTTCTTGGTGCTGCCGGTAAAATTCATAGAGATTTTCAATCAAATTCAACCAACGATTTCCCTGTAAAAATATAAAATGGCGGCGGAAATGTTTAAACCCTGCATGGTGTAATACTTTGACCGAAAGGTGACGATATACTTTCATGATACCGACATGATTGGTTTCAGGCGGTCGGATAGACCACGCTCACCACTACAACAACGCGTACAGAGCCTTGGACGAGACGCTGCAACTGGAGACGGCGTTGCTGGCGGTCATGTCTCTTGTCAATCAGACGGAGACGCTGTTCGTAGTCACGTCGGACCACTCGCACGTCATGACACTTGGAGGCCTTTCCACATCCCGGGGCAACCCCATCCTCGGTGAGTAATTTTTTTCTATCCGGGAATAAATTTTCATTTGAGAATGGCTGGACAAAATACTAAAAATAAGCATAATCAGATACTTAAATAGAGACAAGAGACCCTCCATTGGCCTCTTACTGACAGGTAGAAGCTATAATTGAAAAAATATTCATGCGATAATATTTTGACGGAAAACTTCATTTAATGTCGACAAAATTTGGCCCTTTTCAAGTTAAATCCGTGCGGATTGATGAGAATTGAGTATTTTTTAGTTACTGAGTTGGTGTGTTTCCGTTCTCACTGATTCAGTGGAGATGTTGCATGTGTGAGTAATTTGCAATTTGACTATTGGTTCTTATATTAAAGTTCGTGAGAAACACGATGGTGCCTCTGGTTTTCTCTGAAATTAACTCCCAAGCTTTAAGAAAGCTCTCAAGTTGAGGCCACAATGGAGGGGATATCCCACGCTATCCTGAGAGTCCACCTCTACATCAAGACAAACGCTCCATGCAAGATAGGGAGCAAATACATTAGCAGTGATGCCGTGTTTTCAGATTTAGAGTCCCCAAATAAAGTGGCAGCCCTGTCAATGTATTTGTTCCCTATCTTTGCATGGAGAGTTTGTCTTGATGTAGAGGTGGACTCTCAGGATAGCGTGGGATATCCACTCCCTTTCGGCCTCAAGTTGAGAGCTTTCTTTAAGCTTGGGAGTTAATTTCAGAGAAAACCAGAGGCACCATCGTGTTTCTCGCGAACTTTTACATAAGAATCAACGGTCAAATCGCAAATTTCTCACACATGCAACATCTCCATTGCCTTTGTCTGTTGTCTGCAGGCGTGGACAGTAAGGTGTCGGACGTGGACGGTCTGCCGTACACGACGCTGCTCTACGGCAACGGGCCGGGGCACCAGTCGCCGCGGATCCTCCCGTCGAACGCCACCGTCGGCGACCCCAACATCGTCCAGAGCGCGGCCGTCCCGCGGCGCTGGGCCACCCACGGCGGCGAGGACGTCCCGCTCTTCGCCAAGGGCCCGCTCGCCGCCGCCCTCTTCTCCGGCACCCTCGACCAGAGCTACATCCCGCACGCCGTCGCCTTCGCCGCCTGCCTCGGCCACCACCGCCGCCGGTGCCAGGCCCCCGCCTCCCCTCCCGGCCACGCCCCCAACCAGACCGCCACCACCGTCTCCTACTCGCAGCCTATACAGGTGAGTTCGCGCAGCTTTGAGGTGAAAACCCCGGCTTCTTGAATGACATCAGTAGATGGAATCCTTCTCAACTTTTGACGCCAGAGGACATTTGCACAAGTATTTCTGCACGGAAAAAAACTTCGTGCGTTGGACCCGAAGTTTAGGACATATGGATTTCTGAAGTTTTCGGATTGAGCATCTGAACACTTTAGGTCCAGCTGCTGAGGTTTGGATCACACATCTGGAACTTCAGTTCTCACATCCGAAAAACCTCGGTTCTCACATCTGAAGTACTTCAAATGTAAGAACTGAAGTTTCAGATGTGTGATCCGCACCTCGACAGCTAGACCTAAAGTGTTCAGATGCTCAGTCCGAAAACTTCAGAGATCCATATCACCTAAACTTTGGGTCCCACGCACGAGGTTCTTTTCTCCGCGTGCTTTTGGAAAAATCGATATTCGCACAAAATGCCTGATTATTTATTTTCGGTGGATAAGTGCCCGCACTGAAGTAGCAGAGTAAACAGGTCCCAGGCATTTCAGAATGTTATTAAGCCGTAAGAGCCCTTCATTATACTTACTCGCCGAAGAGAGCTTGATACAAAAACGGCTATTTCGCCCCCTCCTCTGAGACTTCTACTAACTTTATGTATATATTACTCATACTTAAGCGTTTCTTTCCTCAAAATTCCAGACCCCAAAATTTTGGAAAAAGAAGCGCTTAAGTATGAGTGATAAATAGATAAAGTTAAAAGAAATTTCAGCAGCTTTATATCGCTGCTGAACTTTAGCGGCACATCAACGATCAATATTGCTTATTTTGTCGTCAAAGCATTTAATAACGGGCTATCAGCTTTCATACCTGAAATGACCTCTGGTACAGTTCTCGGTCCAATTATTGGATACGTCTACACAATCAAATTTCCCATAGGNGGGGGGGGGGGGGGGCTGGCACATGCACAATGCATTTCAATTTTGAAAATAAGTTATTTTAACTCCTAGTACAATACGTCATGTAATTACTGCTGCAATTCCGGACGAAGAAAAAAAAACCAAACATTCACGAAAAAGTTAAGAAATATGTTACATAGCCCGCATACGGAAAGCACGCCGTACCGAAATCAAGGAACACATACGAGTTACAAAAATTCTTTTGCTTTCAGAATCGAAACAGGTATAAATGACGATCGTTTCCCTAAATACACGTATAAGGACAGCAGGAATGGGCTAAATTTGTAAAATAAAAAAATTAACAGACAATCTGTTTATGTAGATAATTCAATGATAGTTCCGTATGCTTAAGGTTTATCTACAGCTCCATGAAAAAAGAAATTTCTCCGCGCAGGGGGCGCCACCGCTGTGTTTTGATTTTTTGGTCCACGCTATTTGAGTCCGTACAGCTCCAAGTGAGTCCTTGAGCTTTCATGAAAGTTGAAGGAATTTCTGTTGTGCATAATGCTTAAGCGTATAATGCTTAAGCGTATAATGCTTAAGCGTATAATGCTTACAGAAATGTTAAAAATTCATGATAGATAAATTGATACTTAAAAAAGTTCAATTATTTATAGTGTGTTCACACAACATTTTGGTGCAATAAAAAACTATTGATGAAATGACCGTTCCTTCACATATAGAAGATTTTTAAGATCGAATTAATATTGTAACACTGACGTCGTGTCTCTTGTGTTTCTTCCAGGCGTGCGCACCTCCCGATCCAAGCAGTGCCTCAGAACCCGGCCACAGCAAGGCCGGAGCCGCGAAAGTGTTGGCCAGCAGCGAGCTGAGCGAAAACCACGCCTCCATCCACCAAACACTCATCAAAAACATAACCCTGTACTTATTAATACTAACCTATTTGCACAATGCCATCACGTAACGAAAGCCCAAGAACTTAGCATAAAATTGTACATGTTGTGAATTGTTTATAAGAATTACTTTAATAAAGATGTAAATGATTTTTCTAGTTAATTACGCTGTTGTTTCAAATTCAACACATGAGGTGTTCAAGCTGAGTTGAATGCTTTAGCTGCCTTCTAAGTGGTAAAGTTCGGATTTGCAACGTCTCGCGTAATCCTATTACTCGAGTTCACATTGTTCCTACTAAGCGGTAGCACAGTTTGTTCGTCTTAGATCCCTTGCTGTTCGATTAACAAGTATGTGCGCACCCGATGATTTTAATTGCGCAAATAAATAGGAATGGTCCCTACCTATCCATTCATGCTTACTTACCTACGTGCGGCATTGTTCCCTCTTACGTGCAATCTTTTTACACGGGAAGCTATTTTGTTTAGTCGTGCAATTGAAATATCCACATTTTTATCATCAGTGATCCGTTACAGTGTATTCAACCACGTGCTTTTAAGTATCACCTTACTTAATTGGAGTCTCTATAATCATCTTCTGAAAGTGCACCTATGCTCTTCGATTTTGCGTACCGATTTGTCAGATTCAAGTTCTCGTTTGGATTTGTTGCTTCCAATTTATTGTAATCACAACCAAAGATACATTGACTATTAAGAGCTTACCAGAGTCATGATTGACGTTCTGGCCATTGTGATTGAAGCAACAGGAATGAACTAAGGATTCTAGATCTCTCCTACGGCAAAATGGTGTAGTAGATGTTGATCAATTCAATCAAAGCAGGAACTCCTAAAGTTTAAATTAACTGACATAGATTCTGGGTCTCTACTATGGCAAAATTGTGTAGTAGATGTTATCAATTCAATCGAAGCAGGAGCTCCTAAAGTTTAAATTAACTGACAAAGTGGAGATGGAAACACGCACATGACTTAAAAAATTAGTGCTGTCCCATAGTCAGAATTAGTGCAGATTAACATGTTTTGTTTACAATGAAACTTGCTGAAACCATTGAAGTGCGCAATTTGACTCACGTAGAGCTTTGAGTTTCTTGTGAGCGAGCGGTTTGAATTCCTCGTACCCAATGTGAACTAAAAACGTTAATATCTTCGTTAGGAGTTGGTTTTCAATACTTATCGTTACGCGAATCGTGTTCTACATGAAATTTTGATGAAGAAGCATTTATCAGAATGCTTAAGTTCGTACTTAGTCTAGTGGTCCATTAACAGAGTTCGAAAAATTTAAAAAAAATATTGAATTTTTCGCTAAACTTGCGACAAAAATGACAGAGGGATGGAAAAGATTCCGGACCTTTTTGCGAAATATCCGCACTTTTTCATTACTTCCGGACCGTCCTTTAAAAATCGGTACTATTTCCGAACTTTCCGGAAATTCCGATCTTGAAGACCCGCTGATGAAAGCCTCCCGTTTCAACACATACACAACCATTAAACAACTACGTGATCAGTCATTAGATATGTATTGTAAAGAGTGTAAAAATTTAACAGTAGGAGTATCGAAAAGACGTAGGAGAAATCCGGCAGATTTGGTAAAGCGAGTGGAAGTCTTCAGCCGATCTGGGAGAAGCGTCCCGGTTAGAGGACGTTGTTGAGGACGTTCAAATTGGGCAGACCCACGTCCACGCTCGGTATAGCCACGTTTACGTTGGGCAGATTGGGAAGGACGGCGTTGACGCTCGGAAGGGATGGAAGAACGCTGCTGCTGCCACCACCTCCACCTCCGCAGGGATGGGCCACCGACATACTGAGAACGCCCTGAAATCCACGCACATCGGATCGTAAGATTATACTCCGTCGATTAGACCGGTTTATTAACGGGGTGTATTTGAATTGATACAATTCGGGAAGATGCGTTTTGAGCCACCTTTCGGACGTTCTTTGGGTGGAATTTCAATTTCTTAAATCGCCTGAAAAATTTATCATTGAGAATGATTTGAAAGATTTTTTAAATCGCCCGAAAAGTTCATCATACAGAGCGCACTGAGATCCATGCACATCGGGTCGTAAGTTGTAGTCTCTCAATTAGAACGGTTTATCAAGGGATGGATTTAAATTGATACAATTCGGGAAGATGCGTCTTAGACGCCTTTTAGACCTTTAGACCTTTCAGACGTTCTTTGGGTTGAATTTCAATTTCTCAAATCGCTTGAAAAATTAGTCATTGATAATGAAATGAAAAATGTTTTAAATCGCCTGAAAAGTTCATCATACAGAGCGCACTGAGATCCATGCACATCGGATCGTAAGTTGTCGTCTTTCAATTAGGTCGGTTTATCAAGGGATGGATTTAAATTGATACAATTCGGGAAGATGCGTCTTAAATCACCTTTCAGACGTTCTTTGGGTTGAATTTCAATTTCTTAAATTGCCTGAAAAATTAGTCATTGATAATGAAATGAAAAATGTAATAAATCGCCCGAAAAGTTCATCATACAGAGCGCACTGAGATCTATGCACATCGGATCGTAAGTTGTCGTCTTTCAATTGCGTCGGTTTATTAAAGGGATGAATTTAAATTAATACAATTCGGGAGGGTACAATTTATTAATAATCTGAAAAGTTTTTAGTAAAAAATTAGCGTTTCTCAGAGGAAAACGATCTAAACAGATAAGATGTTTATTTGCAAGATCTAGGATAAATTTTTCCCGCGCTAAAAGCTTTTGGAAACGCTACAATGAAGAAAGCGCAACCTGCAAAATTGAATGTAATTCAGACAACAGTATAATTCAAAATATTCAATAGTTCTACAAAAACAAACGATTAAGACAAATTTTAAAAAAATAATAAAAATTGAAGCCACTTTGATGCCTCTGATTTTTCCTTAGGAAAATATTTTCATGTGAAAGTTAATTTGAACATTAAACTTAGCAGTAGCTGATGAGGCTTGGTTCATTTCTGCTAAGGGTGATTTGACGGTTGCCATTTTTTTGCGTCAGAGCGACGCGAAGCGCGATAATCCTTTCAGTTCGTTCCATAATTTCAGCTACTTGTCATTTATTTCAAATTTTGAGATCTCACTTTTGTTGTCATGAGACTAAAGAATTCATGTGCCAAATGTGACAAATTCAACGTATTGAGGCAGGGGTTTTTCAGTGGAAAAATATCACATTCGAGTGCAGTTTCGATATCAGTATCAAATGCCATATCCTGTAAAAAAAACCCTGCCTTTATTACGTTGAATTTCTTTGTCTAACTTGGTCCATGCATGAATTAGTTAGTCTCATGACAACAGATATGCGATCTCAAAAAAATGAAAAGTAGCTGAAATTAGGGGACACTGATGCGATGTATCGTACTTAGGCTCTGACACAAAAAATAGCAACCGTCGACTCACCTTAACCTGTCCAATTGACAGAGGCGACATACCAGAAGAGCCACGAGGATGCGAAGGACGTTGAAGAGCTGCATGTTGGAATCGGGGAGAAAAAAGACGGTCGGGTTCTGGCAAACGAAGCCGAGGACTGAACTTTGCTCCCCTCCGACTTTTCCACCACTTTAAATACCCCTCGGTCGAACTTTCTTTGCGTCAATGGATTCGACGAAAATTGCAAAGACAAACACGGACGCGCGCTCCAAATTGCTCCGCCAACACAATTACCCTGCCTTGACGCCGATTTTGGCCCAATTAAGGGCCGCCCGGGGCGCAAGGGGAAAACATTTGACGAAAACACAGCCTCGAAAACAACGAGTCACCGAAGGACCATGCGCTGCGACCATCGCGTTTCCTTCCGTCGACTTGTAACATTCGAAAGAAAACACTGGCAAGATCAAAGCGACGTAAGAACGTGTCTGGGAACTGCAGCATAGGAAATTACGACGTCTTTTCCTGAATATAACCACCGGACAAGGTATGAATTCTAGCATTCTGTAGTCATTGTTTAAGGGACAAATGCATAGCATCTTGCCAGAAAGAACCAAGAGCATTCCAGGGTTGCGAGGATTAAGCAACTTAAATTCTTTGCAAGAAATTGAATTAACGAAGATAATTTTGTCATGAATCAAAATATTAAGGAACGTAAAGATGAAACTTGTTTGGATGATCAGTTTATATTTGCAAAGTAAAATAAAGATGAATAATCTCAGAGACATTGGAATGCTTCTGTTTTGCAAAAGGTGACCCAAATGAACATAAAGCCCATCTAAATAACACCATCCGAGGACAGAAAGTTACCGGCTATGTCTTTGTTCTGAATGCTTATAAAAAGGGGACTTCCTAGAGGCAGGCGAAAACGAGATGGTGCTCACATTAACGCAGATATGATTCGCGATGTGGACCGCGTACAATTGAGATCGATTAGAGAATTATAAACTAGCAATTATTGCATTGAAAATCGATCGTTTGTTTTGGCGGAAGAAACTACATGCACGTTTGCATGATTATCGCAATCGATAAGATCGTAAGAGCTTTTAGTGTCACTTTTGGAAGCTTTTCGATTTCGAGCCGCCTCGCTTCACTTTGACATCTTTTGCACAAATTATTATTAACAGAGGGAGAGATTTTAAAAATCGCCATAATTCATCAAACTTGGGCTATGTCTATGGAGCTGGAGCTAGGCAATATGCGGCTGGGTAAAGCTGTTGAACTTCGATTTAAACACTTTTTGCTGAGAGAGACTTCAGGAGAAAACTATCGATACACTTATCCTGAAGTACAGCCGCACTCTTAGGAATACAGACAATTTTCGATGAATTCCTCATATTGCATCATACTTCGCAGGGAGACTCACTAAATCTTGATAAAATTCCATCTGTAACGCGATAACGGAAACGATTGCTGCTTTAAATTACATGCAGTATATTAATTTGGGGATCAATATGGAATCTAATTGTAGTAAATGTAGGTTCGCTTCAGAAATTAAACAGAACAACAAGAAAAATTCATGGAGAATAAACACAGGGTAAGGTACATAAAGACAAACGTCTGCACCGAGATAATTACCCATCTATTAACTCCAAATTACCAGGAGATAAAGACAATCAGAACTTGAGTTAACTTGTTCAGTAGCTGATAAAGGCATATACTTTGAGCTTTACTCATAAGTGACCCGAAGTCTCAGTTCGGGTGGCATTGAAGCGCACTGTTTCAGCTGGAGTCATATTTTTCGTGACCATTTAAAGGAGAGTTCTGAGGCAAGAAATCGTTACCAAGTTCAGCTACAAAGTTTGAATTTATTGAAAACAATATTGACAATATCTACACATAACAACAAAAAGTTCAGAGACATTTTGGGGACATCCTACCGGCGTGATACTCGCCGTGCCAAGTAAAACCTCAGTCAAAAAAGAAATATATTAAGGAAAACTATTATTAGAGAATTCGGGTGGTAACATAGACGAATACCCAATAACCAAAGAAGCTTTGTAATTACAGCTACGAATATTCATAATGATCTCAAACTTGAGGGTCAATTACGCAACAAAAATCAAATGAGTTCATTGGATTCGTCAAAAAAAAAAATTGAGGTATTATAATGAGGTGAATGAGCAAAAAACGAAGTAAGGGACAGGATGTCTTATAGGAACATTTGAGAAGGATACAAATCCAATTGTAGAAAAATTGAAACGGTAGTTTACAATCATTTGTAGGTAAAATTCAAACTACCTTATGCACACAGGTTAAGCGAAAATCTATTGCACAGTATCGAGAAAAGAAGCAAAGAGAAAAAAACTCTTGTAACTTGATTACGAAGTATCTTCAATCATGTCGTGGTAAAATTAACAAAGCTTACGATTTGCGACCAGCGACTGACGTCGGATTAAAGGGATGCAAAGATCCTGCATCTTTTTCAGATTTGACCGATAAAAAAAACGCTAAAAGAGAAAATTTCCTACCATAAATGATAAAGTGTTTTATTTAATGGGAGACTATCCTGAAACTTTAATAATCTTAACTCCTTTTAGTTAATTTTTTGTTTGAAAAAGTAGAACTATGCTTGCAACATTACAATCGTAAAAGTTTCTCATGCAAAATGCAATCCGGTTGATGCATGGAACAATTTCATTAGATGAAGATTCATTGTAACATGTATTACACTGATGGGACATTGAGATATCGTAATCACACATTACTTGTTGGGTTTTTTTCGGTTCTACTATACATAACGTTCCGATTTCAGTGACAAAATAGCGTTTTTTTTAAGCCTCTGTTTTTCATTGCATTGTGACCTGTTGCTTTTCCCTCGAATAGACTGTATCCAATTGATCATCTTTTACTTGAAAATAGACACGTTGGTTTTTATCAGTCCCTACAAAGTCCTTTCCATTTTGAAGAGAAAGAACAGCAAGTCAACTGACTAGCGTCGAGCTCTTCCCCGCAGTTGCAGGGTACTTGTTCCAGCTATTGACATTTCATCGTAAAAACGTTGTTTTTTGCGACCTACACTCTTGATAAAGTAAATTAAATTCATGGGATGAAAAGTTATCGCGCTGAGGATGGAGGTCAGGCACCTCCAAAACGCGTCCGAATGTTTAAATTTTACGATTGATGCGAGTGAATGGTTTCAAGTTTTAAAATTTTTTACCAAATTAAATTCATCCCTGAAGCACGAATGGGTCGGAACCCAAAAACCCGGAGGATCTGCTATTGAAAAACTTCTGTGGGCCAAAAGCTCTGTCTGAACAGTATGGATAATAGAGAACAAATAAAATTTAACGTTTGGACAGATATTCGTATTTTTAGTAAATCTGCAAAAATCAACGATCAAAACATGATTCTGAACCAGCGCGATTGACCCATTCTATTGCGGAATCTGGCATTCTAACAGACAAAATCACATGGTGGGTATGAGGAGATACGATGTGTCTATTTGGGTCGTGGTATCTTGTTCTTGCGTCATAGAGAAGCCTCAAACGCATGCTCATGTCATGGTAGGAAGACTTGGTAGACTCAGTCTGGGTAAATAACCAAATTCGCTCAGTGAATTACAGACCTTACGATGGAGGAGCCTTTTTCGAATCCCTCAATATTCAGGAACACTGGAAAAAAAAACACATTGGATCTAGAGTCCAGACTCTTGAAAACATTGATAAGAAAATGGACTCTTGATTCAATCAGATTTAAGCTTAAAACAAAAGGAAATCCGCTCAAATTAAGAGGCTTGGTTCTTGATTTAAGCTTAAATCTGATGGAATCAAGAGTACTTTATCTTGCCGATGTTTTTAGGAGTCTGCACTCTAGATCCAATGTGTTTTTTTTTTCCCAGTGAATGAAAAATTACTGCACGGCAAAGAGATGTCACATGGGTCTGGACAACATCGTGAATACAGTTCAGGAAAAGTAGATGGCTGGTCGACACTACAACTGCAATCCGGCGTGGAGAGCTAGAGAGGTCGGGGCCTTCTTCCGACTCCTGATTTGAACCAAGGCCGACTTCAACCACTGGACGATTTGCTTGTAATTCTGCTTCATCCACTTCATATTGGCTCGCGTCTTTTCGAGTGCCTGGAACGCTGCTCTGTAGGCCGCCCCCATCTCTTTGTGATGCTTGGCCACGAAATTTTGCAGCTGAAATCGATCGAAATTTAAGATTTAGAGCTTTTACGGCTGGACAATCAAGCCGGTAGGGTAATTTTAATCGGTTAGTAAACTTTATGTCACTAAATCAGAGATCTTGGACTATTAGTGTTCGCTCAAATTTGGTTATCTCTGAGTCTCTCAGCTCTTGCGTCGTAAGTTGCTAGAGACATGATTTCGCCTAAAATAATGAAGAAATTCTTCAGCGAAAGGCATGTCTCCAAGCCGTTTGAAGCCGCGGCACACGGTGGATCGAGTCAATGGGAGGGGTCGGTCATCGCGCATCACGCGTCTTATTTTCTCTGATTACGGAGATTTCCCGCCCTTAGAATAGATCAAATTACACTCATTTAATGTATTTTTGGTCGTAGATTCCATTTTTGATCATTTTTCAGCCGAATAACGAGTTTTAATACGAGTTTGACACACTTTTTCATAACTATTGAAAATGGGATCCTCGATAGCTGTTTTATCACGTTACTTTCGGCGAATGGGACCGTAAGCATCTTACGCAAAGAATAATTTTGCAGAACTTGACTCAAGGACATTACTTGAGGAGTAAGGGAGGACGGCTTTACAGCCCCCTCACCACGAAGGTTGCCATATTTCTTNTTTTTTTAAAGCAAGCTTTGGAGGTGGTTTTGATCCTCCTAAAAATATGCCAATGCACATTAATGATATACCAAAATGTTCCTTAAAGGGAGGAGAATAAGCATGTTTAATAGAAATTTTGATTTATCTGCCACAGAACTCATGCAAAAGCGAAATAAAACCTTGAGAATTAGACGGCAAATTTGATACCACCTGCAATGTCAGCTTTAGGCAACCCGCATGTCAAAGCGGAAGGGTTCAAAGATCCTAGAACCGTGGATACATTCATTTTGGAAGCTTAACTACTAGAAAACCAAGAAAAAATATTTAAAATCAGACTTTTTTTTTCGTCGCCCATGACCGACCTCTACCATTGACTCGATCCACCGTGCGGCAGAGCGATCAGGCCGGGAGGGAAATTTTAGTCATTTAATCAACTTATCGTCACTAAATTAGAGATCTCAGACTAGTAGTGTTAGCTCAAATTAGGTTATTTCTGAGTCTCTTCGCTCTTGCGTCGTAAGTTGCTAAAGACATGATTTCGCCTAAAATAATGAAGAAAGTCTTCAGCGAAAGGCATGTCTCCAAGCCGTTTGAAGCCGCAGATGGATGATCAGGCCGGGAGGGTAATTTTAATCAGTTAGTCAACTTAGTGTCACTAAATCAGAGATCTTGGAATTCTCGTGTTAGCTCAAATTTGGTTATTTATGAGTCTCTTCGCTCATGCGTCGTAAGTTGCTAGAGACATTATTTCGCCTAAAATAATGAAGAAAGTCTTCAGCGAAAGGCATATCTCCAAGCCGTTTGAAAGCCGAACAACATGTTAGCCTCGACTCGTTTCGATCAAATAAAGAAATTGAGTTACGATAACCAAATTTCGGAATTTCAAGAATTATTTAAGACTGAATAATGTTCATGCCAAAATTACATGTAGTTTTGAAATAGAGAATTAAAAAATAAATTAAATTAACTGGTATGGTGGCTAATTCGATACCATTAAGCATTATGAATACTACTCACATCACGAGCTTCGTACTCCGTGTTCATTCCGGTGACGCTTGATTTTATGATTCCGCTGAGCATGGACGACTGCGATCCCAAACTAGAACAGGCATCAGTTTCATTGGCATCATAATACAGTCCAAAACGCGAGAAACTGGCTAGAGTTAAGTCGAGGCGGTTTCTACTGTTGTATTCGTGGTGTTTGGTAATCTCAAATTATTTACGCATATTTCTCGATAAAACAGATGGCAGAGACTGCATTGTGCAACAAGGAACCATACCTGAATAAGGTATAACTAATAGTAGATATATCACTGGAAAAAAGTCGCTTGGATTTAGAGTCGAGACTCTTATTAAAAACATTGACAAGACAAACTACTCAAGATTCAATCGGACCGTTTGCTTGATTCAAAAGTAAATTCGCCTAAACAAAGGGATCGGCTCCCCGATTCAAGGAAAAGTCGGATTGAATCAAGAGTATTATTTCTTGTCAATAATATTAGGAGTCTGGACTCAAGATCCAAGCTACTATTTTTCCAGTGATTTTTTCTACAATGGGGAATAAATAAGAGTTCCATATTGCAAAATGTACAGGAATTAAATTACAATACATTTTAAAATCTTACGCGTTTATAAAAACTTAGACTTATCATACAACAGACAATATTCCAATAAAGAGCCACCCAAAGCGTGCGATTCGCGGTTCGAGAGCCGAAAGAAAGGTTTTAATGGAAAAGTTGAATAGTGAAATTGAGTAGGAAATATAGGTATAAAAAACACAAGTGTATCGACTGCCAAGTGGATAAGGTAACATATCCACAAAATTATGGAGTGCAAGAACTGTTTTCGGCTGACTCGAAGACTTTAACGCTGCAGTAGAAAAGTTGGATGGCACGAAACATGGGATACAACTTTTTCTGCTTCCAAGAATGTAAAATTACGTATTCACCATTTGAATAATTTAAAAAAAAAGGTTTTCTTCCAAAGAGTGAACACTTACCGCACTGATATTTACGAAAACTTACGACAAGGATGTAAATATCTTGTAACATTTTGAGCGAATGAATTGATGTTTACGAAACGGATGCGAAAGCGTTGATATTTATGAGAGAAGTACTGCGTGAAAATTGAATATTACAGAATATTACTGCTGAAGTGTTGGATTCTAAAAAAATAAAGCGCAGTTTCCAAAAATGCAAGAGTTACGAATTACTGAACAAGCTCATTATAGCACACAAAAAATTTAGTGCTTCATCTGAGGGTGCTCAATAAGCTAACTTCGCAATTTTTTTTATGGATAATAGGATAAAAAGACATTTGAAAGTTAGGAAATGCACCGCCTTTCGACGTCACCCAGCAGCATTTTTCATTTAAGCAAATGTACTTAAGCAGATTAAATTCTCCTGTCATTAATCTTCTGAGAATTGTTCAATTCAGAAACCAAGGATGTTCTCGTGCTAAATTATTACAGCAGTTTCATTTTAAACATGAAATTTACATTTTGACACCCGCAAATTTTCTATTTTCCGAATGTTTTAAACTTTCTGGTGGATCATAGAATCCACGTTATTTATTTTTAAGAGTAAATCACTTTAGATTTTCTATTTGGGAAAATGCAAGTTCTTTATCCGTTACAGTGGTGTAATATTTTATAGTTGCGAAAGTGAAAGTTCTTGATCCGTTACAAGGTGTAATTATGATACGGCGAGAAATAGCGACTTACTATTCGACGATGCGAGACCATTGGTTTCGGACGAAATTAAAGGCCAAGGGTTGACCGATAGGGGTGCTGGCCACCGCTCCGAAAACGCGTGAGGCGTCTTGCTTCCTCACGCCTGAAGTTTCGTTCATGGACCATTCTAAATACCTAAAACATCACCAATTCGCATTAAACGTCAAATCCAGTGAACCTGATCACTATGCTTTAGAATTTGAGGAAAACAAGACGAGAGAGAATGAATCAGCATGCTGCGAGGCAAAGATGCTTGGGGGCGACAAATTCTTAGGGCGCCAAGATGCTTAGGGGGCGACTAGATGTTCAGGGCGACAACACTTTTAGGGGCCACGACATGCTTAGGGGCACCCTATTGAGTGACAATTTGTATTCATTCATGTCACCATTAACGGTACCCTTTCCATTACTCAGGGGAATTTTGTCTCTTGGCTCTTTTTCCGCTTTATATTTCTCCGATTCCCTTTATGTATTGTGTAATATTTTAATTGATTTGTAGTGTACGTTTACGGTCTTCACTTTCTACACCAGAAATACCCCACCCTTCCCTCTTCTCCCCTCAATTTCAATGTGCCGTTTCTTTAACCAATTTATTGTTTACTTTGGTGGGTAGTTTGACTATTGTTGCTTCAGCCTTGCTGAATGAAGTTTTGTACCCCGGGCCAAAGTCACAGACCAACATCTGAACGGTATTAACCAATTTCCGATTGCGTGCGGTAGCGATTTCATGTGATATCCGTCAAATGTATTTGCAGATTTGTATTCATCCTGATGATAAGCAGGACAACAACATGCAAATGAATCAGAAATCAGTGTTGAACTTTGGTAGCTACTGAGAGCCTCCCGCTTATCATTGAGTTTCGCTGTGCAGTTAGCAAACTTTGCTTAAAGTTTTTTTCATATTCTCGGATTGTGAGTGAATTCTATCCATTGTTTTTTTCATGATTTAAAATCATTAAGTGATTAAAGTCTATGTTTGTTTGTGTTACGTTATGTTTGTTACGTTGTTTTGTTATGTTTGTATGGTAACACACAATCATGTTCATCCAGTTATTCCTCATCATTGACAAATCTGAGTGATCCGTTAAAATGTTTCGGGGAGGGAGGGATGTGATTCCTGAAAGGAACAGAACTTCTTCCTAGCCTCTTTCGTTATTTTGATTTCAGGACCAAAATGACTATCCCATCCACTTTCAAAATGGCACGAAACACACGCCGATCTCCAGACTAGATCAAACCATTTCGCGTGAATGAAGGATCAAACGATTCTAAAGCCGGAGTGGTACGCACCATTTACTCAAGGCCAAGACCGGTGAATATTCAACCCAAGATAGAGGAATCTGATTCCTTAAAGGATCGTTTTTTCAGGTTATCTTAGTTTTCAGAACACGGCGTGGATAACCCCCGGGCTCGCGAAAGTTGATTTTTCAAGATGAAACGAGCAACGCATACCAAAGGTCCAAAGACCCCGCAGGCATATGCTGAGGAGGTTGTGAACTCTTCGTGCGCTAGAGAGGCATTTGAGCGCGGAGCAAAGATTGTGCAAAGCGGCCAGAAACGATAATCGAATCGAGGCCCAAGGTCCAAGAATCCTAGACCCAGAGACCAACAACGTGTGGAAAGCCATCGGCTTAGTCAAAACAACATACTCCATGAGTCCCTAAATAAGGAGTTAGCTAACAAGATATTGGCTGGTGTGAAGACAGGCGAAGCTGCAGCCACTTTCACAGATGGGTTCAACACTAACAGAGCCATCCCCTTGCCCGTCACGATCAGGATGGTCGGTTTTGGAAGTGCCGAAGTATTTCGAGCGATCTATCAATTACCAACGATCAGGGTTCCTGCTGGTGGCACAGTTTATCAACTGTATCGGTGTAGTTACTAGTTTGTATACACACCACACGAAAATGCACCTTTAAAAAGGTTAATCACATTGCCAATCATTGATAATACTGCATATGATACTCCCCTATTGCCTACAGACGTCGCGAACGTTACTAAAACGTGTATAACCTTGCCAGACACAATATTTTCAGTGATGGTAGTAAGGCATTACTCGTCTCCAATGACCAAAATGGAATGAGAGTAAGTGATCGGGGCAATCAAGAGACCGTAAAAGCGTATCACTTGAGTATAAAGATTGAAGGAAATATACCGGAGTTCGATAACATACGAACAATTGATGCATCCACCCAGCTACTCGGAAATGTTTCCCTTCACGGAGAAAGGCCTCTTACAGTTGGTCAGTATTATCCGGCTTTCTCAATACGTGACAGACTTGCCTCACCTCAAGTGTCCACCATAGGATGGAAGAATGCTAGATCATCGGAACTTCCTAAGCAGCGACGTAATCGACGAGTTCGTTCGACTGGTTGGGAAGATGGAGGAAGAGTTAGCGGCCATCCCTAGCTTAATCTGGCCCCTATAGACTTCGATGAGGCCATGCATCAGGCTGCCATTGCGGAGGCAACGTACACCCGTTAATGGAAAAACGAAGTACCTGTTCCCAATCTGTGAGAGAAAGCACTGGTCGATAATCTACGTCGACAAAAAGGCAGATGAGTGCTACCATAACACCAGCCTCGGCGAGGCAAGCGAAACGGCCTGTCGATTAGTCTTAAATTTCCTTGAGAGCTGTGCAATCAGTAAAGGTTACACTGATAAATTTCAACATTTTAAAATTATTCTTAGAAATCGCCCCGAACAATCAAATTGGTACGACTGTGGCGTTTATGTAGCAATATTCGCATATCGTTTATTCAGAGGATTACGCCCAAACGAGCCCATCGACGAAAGTCTAGTTTGGAGGAAAAGAATTTTCACGTGCCTCAGAGAAAAATCCCTGAGAATATTCGATGTAAATATTCCACGAAGAACGCTACCCATAAGCAGTCCCCCCTTCCGATGCGTTTTGCCCTGGTATTTGACTATTGACTGGATTTCTGAATTCTGACTTCAGTTTAAGTTGGCTTGGTGAGTCAGATTCCCGCCACTTGAGACGCGTAGGGCCCCCAAAAACAATCCTCTGTAAGGAAAATTTCACAGACTTTGTCCATGTCCGTGATAAGAGTATACTCGGATGAATTTCAGCATTATAAAATCATACTTAGAGATCACCCCAAACAAGAAAATGGTTCCGACTGTGGCCTGCTAACTTGTCGTCACTTCCCACGGTTAGCTCGCCAAAATCCCCTGACCAAGCATGTCACATGCGCCAGGACTCAAAACTTGGCAAGAGGTTCTCGAGTTTTGTAGATCTATCCTCGAATATGAAAGCACGAAGTCGTCCTTCTCAAATGAGAAAATGGCGGTGCTAACTGCCGTCATAGCATTCTGTGCAAAGAAGGCTTTTGAAAAAAGGTAATTTTTTTATATATATAAAGGAGCAATGTTTATTATAGGAATAAACCGACGTTATATTCGTCGTTAATTTTGGCAAGTGCGAACGTCCGCGTAGTCCGAGGGCCTTCCCTCGTTTTCTTTCGGTGATTTTGGCACCCGCGTAGATCTGAAGTTGGACTCGGCTCAAGTCCGCGTTGTCCAATATTCTTTGACCTTTTCCTTTCGTATTATTATCATTCCTCCTCCCATGTGGATAGGAAGTAACTCATTCCGAAAGAGCAGCGTCTTCGGTCGATTTGAGTTATGACTTTGAGCGAATCACTGATTCTTGTGTGTTGTCCGTTTTAGGTATTGTTGAGATCAGCCAGATGGATCCCCGTAAACCCGCCCCCCTCCCAGCTCCCCCCAGTTACCCACCTCTCGCCCCTCCCCCTGGAACGATTGACAGAATTACCCCTAATCATGGATACGGCACCAAACATTGCTTCATGAACAATAATATTGTAACAACTAGGGAGAATAAATTAATGAAAAATCAAGCGACAAGATTTTTCAACACCTTGACCAACGATTTAAAAGTCATGTACAGGGAAAGTTCCGTCAAAATATTCCTTAACCAATTGAAAATAAAACTAAGAAATAAAGCGTATTATAATCTGAAAGAATTTGATGAGGAACCTGTATAATTCTATTTTGCTTAAATTGTTGCATAAATTGTAAATTCCCTGTAATTGCACAGACTTGTGCCAGAGCTGTTTACTACAGGCTGTATGCATCAATAAATTCTATCTATCTATGTTCCCCAGTCGACCCCTAGCACAGTTTGTTGTTGCGAGGTAGAATGTCTGAACGTGCATTCTAGCAATATTCGGTTATTCCTCTTTTTTTTAATCACATGCAGATAGATACGCATTGTGAAATTTTAAATCAGTTGGCCCTTGACATGATGATGATAAAATGGACAGCTATTACGTACTTTAGTGCAATTACTGACCTGCTTAGAATCCAGGGCTCCCGAGAACAACCCAAAGCTGCTAGAATGAGGTCTTTCTCTGATCCAACATTGCTTTTTAGGTATCTAAAAGAATTAAAAGAGTTATTTGAAAAGCAGGAGATCAACAAGATGTCTACTATCTACGCGAATGGCTAAATATCAAGTTACATAAAAAAAAGGGAAATAAAGGGAATATAATACGAATTTAGTTTTGAATATAAAATGTATTTAAGAGTATGATTCAAGTTCTTCCGCTTTTCTTGCTTTCGAAATAACTTAAGTTAAATATGATGTTGAAATATTGAGACCATATGATTGAGGAGAAAGTGGAAGGCTGACTCCCAGCCATTATAAAGAATTTAACGTGCGAGACGGAAGTATCATTGTATTTTAAAGCTTGACCAGCCCTTATAAGCCACTCATGGTGAGACTCAATCTGAGTAGAAACATAGAGGACGATCAAATGAGTAAAATCCTTAAAAATTATTATCAGAATGTAAAACCTTCGTGTTGAAGATATGATAAGCAAGTAGGTCACTAAAATCTAGAGGACCTCACTTAGTGGCATTTGCACTTATGTCTGACAAACATGTTAGGGGTTCGAAATACAAAAAGTGAGTATCCTTGATGTAAAGCTTAAACCAGCTTTAAGCTTCAAGTTCACGGAAGAACTTAAAGGTCTTAAAAAAAGCCAAATTTTTAATGGCTAAAATAACTCACTTTTCCCATAAAAACTGCCAATCTGATTCTCCTCCGACTTTGATTGCGTTGCAGTAAACGACTCCACGAAGATTAGCCGAGATTCTGAAAAAACCATCCATTTGCTTCATAAGAAAGTATCATTAAAAGTATTTATCTGAGATACACATGAGAGTATCATCATCGATAAGAGCGATGGCAAAGGAGGAATTTAGTATCGTCCAAAATTGATTGCGGAGCTGGTTATAGAACTTAATCATAATGAGCCTGTACCGCGCTTATTGGAACAACTCCGCGATTTCAGAAGAACCCGAAGATTGATTATGAGCCTGTACCGCGTTTATTGCAACAACTCCGCAATTTCGGAAGAACCCAAAGAACAGTGTTCTGTTTTCGTACTATGGGTCAAGGCGAAAAGCTTACATGTTGGAAAAATCACTGATCGGTTGTACACTTGAGGATAACATGAGCGCAGACGAAGATAAATTGGATAGCATTTTGCAAAAAGGAACCAAGAGCATTCCAATGTTGCTAAAATTGTGAAATTTGAATTCTTTGCAAGAAATTACAGATATCATGAAGAAAATTAAATTTACGAATGTAATTTTCGTCTAAAATTCATAGTTTATTGGGAGTAAAGATAAAACTTGTTTGGATGATCAGTTTCTACTGGCAAGGGGAAAAATGTTGCACGATCTTAGCTACATTGGAATGCTTGTAGTTCCTTTTTGCGAAATGCAATCCAATTATAAGGCGGAAAATTGGGAACGTTGAGAAACGTGGTGGGAAAATGCTGAGTGCGTGGAAAAGATATGCCCCAGGGTCCAGTGCCAGTATCAAGTACCGAAATTTAAAGATATTTTCCGGTGGGATGCATTTTGAAAGCGCTTTCGTCGGTCAACTGTCCTGATCAAGCCCTATCCCCTCGTCATTACTCGGATAACAACCTGGTTTGTAGATTAAGACCGATATCTAAAATCAGTTAAAGCTGTGTCTTGAAAATAATGACACAAATTAAAATAACTCACGCTTTCACTAATATTTTTTACTAAAAACTACTACTACTTATATCACTTCTTTATTCACTCCTTTCAGGGTCTGTGCCTGATGATGGTGGCAATCAGCCACTGAAACGTCACCAGTTAACAATGTAAATTTAAAATAAATAAAAAGTAATTCGAAAGGTTATCAAACTCATGAAATTCATTTAATCACTTCTTTTACTATCCCGGTACTAGAAGCGTGACTTTTATTATTTAGTGTCAAAATTGAAATAACAGGCTTTCCTGTTCTTCAATCGTTGATTTCACTTGGACAGGATCGATACTCGGACCGAACTTACGGGTTCATCTGCTGGCTGCCGAGCCGTTTCCAGCTTTGGAAGAGGGTGATGGCGTTGTCGATGCAATCCTTGTGGCCTATGTTGCAGGCGTGATGGAGCACCTCGTTCCGCTTGTAGACCGTCAGGAGTTCGTCCCCGTGCGGATCTGTGAAGCCGACCGAATCGTAGAGCCCAGACATCAGGTGCCACAGGTACTCCTGCGCAATATAAACCAATCCCCAAATAGAGCCGCATGGTTCCGATAAGTTACTGAAGCTCACAATAACAGAACAGGGTGTCTGGTTATTTGGTGACAGGTGGAAATGTCCAATAAACAAAATGTCCTATTTAAAATGTCCAATTGTCTTAATATCCACGACAAAATATCCAAAGGCTAAAATGTCCAGAATTCAAAATGTCCTATATGCAAAATGTCCCTTATGTCTCATAGGTCCACATATATGCAAAATCAAAATGGCTTAACATCAGCTTACGTAATGCCTCAAACCAGGACATTTTTTCTCTTGGACATTTTCCGTTGGACATTTCCACTGAGCACCGGTTCTTTTTTCATTCTGGGAAAATACTGATTTTTCCTGGTTTTTGACTGCTAAATCCTGATTTCATAATTTTACCAAATCCTGATTTGTTGCGGAGAAAAATTAAAATTTCTGCATTAGGTATGCGAAAGCAGAACTCAAGAATTAAGAGCTCGATAAAAAAAACCGATCGGAAGGCAGACTTTTCTTAAATCCTGATTTTAGGACCGATTTTTCCTCAAATCCTGATGCTAGGCACCCAGCAAAATTACATTCGCTATATTGGTTGCTGTTTTCGCCTGTTGACGAACGATGTTATGTGTCTTTTCACATTCCTGCTCTCTCTTTTTTTCTATTTTTTTCATAATTTCGCATTTACAATCGCTTGATGTATTATACTTAAAGTTGCCTTGATGGTGATCGGGAAAATTGAAAAGCTTCAGCTATAGTTCAATAAACGAATCATAACACCATGGCATTGTATTTCCACTAACGAATTCTTACAATTATTACTGGTGTGACCGTGATTTTCATCACCATGTTCCAATGAATAAATACAATAAATTTGTTCTGCACTGCACTATTAAAAATATGAGAAAATGCGGAAACTGTGTCATGTATATTTTCGCAACTTCGGAGTTCGATTGAGTAAGTAAATTGGCGCGTATTACAAAAAATTCACTCAAGTATGATGAAAAAGAACGCAAGTTGGCATTTAGGATGGCCAAATTACCCATTTGTGTAAAATGTTAGGTAATCACGTGATCAGTTATTCAAAAAGATTACAGAAAACTTCGTGCAATTCTTAACAACGGTGGTCCGCTTCGTGATGCGATTCGATCGAAAAGTGACCTGGAAGTTGCTTCAAAGTGGCGCCAGCTCTCTCACTCACATTACGACTCGATGTTCTCTATGCGATTTTTGAGTCATGATCTATCCGAAACGACTCTTCTTTTCGCGCTACACTGGAAAAAAAAAACACATTGGATCTAGAGTCCAGACTCTTAAAAACATCGACGAGAAAAAGTACTCCTGATTCAATCAGAATCTAGCTTAAATCAAGAACCAAGCCTCTTAATTTAAGCGGATTTCGTTTTGATTCGAGCGAAAATCCGATTGAATCAAGAGTACTTTTTCTTGTCAATGCTTTCAAGAGTCTGGACTCTAGATCCAATATGTTTATTTTTTCCAGCGTAGCTGAAGTTTGCAACAAAGAGATGTTCAAAAGGTCGCAAGTGGGATTACTCCCCGGGACATAGACCACTAAACAAGGTACGAATTTCAGCATTCTGATACATGTTCCGGAACAAGAATTTCACGTAGAACACGATGCGCACAACGAAAATTACCGAAATCAACTCCTTACGAAGATATTCAATAATTCTTGATGCGTGAATTCAAACCACCCGCTCATGAAAACTCAATGCTCTGCGTGATTCACATCGCGCGCTAAACGTTATCATGACAGTCTCTGCGCGATGTAAAAATCTGGCAACCTCAATCTTGACGCTTTGGCTCAGCTATAGCAAATTGCCTATAGTTCGAACAACACATGGTGGGAAATGAATATTGCTCGATTAAGAAACTTACTGAGACCGTTGTCGTGCGCGATTTGACTCACGTAGAGCTTTGAGTTTCTTGTGAGCGGGCAGTTCAAATTCCTCGTAACCAATGTGAAATAAAAACGTTAATATCTCCGTTAGGAGTTGGTTCCAATAATTTTCGTTGTGCGAATCGTGTTCTACGTGAAATTTTAGTTACGAAACATGTATCAGATTGCTCAAATTCGTACCTTGTCTAGTGGTCCATTTAAGCGGATTTCGTTTTGATTCAAACAAAAATCCGATTGAATCAAGAGTATTTTTTCTAGTCAATGCTTTCAAGAGTCTGGACTCTAGATCCAATGTGTTTTTTTTTCCAGTGTAGCTGAAGTTTGCAACAAAGGGATGTTCAAAAGTTCGCAAGTGAGATTACTCCCCGGGACAAATCCCACGAAACGTCCCGTGGAAACGAAGTCTACGGATTAGGGCGATGAACGTACTTTGTACTCGTAGTAGTGTCCGCTCTTGGCGAGCATGATGTCGAGGAAGTCGAAGCTGGAGAAGGCGGCTTTCCACGGGCTGTAGTCGAGCTCGTGTTCCAGGTAGGTCGTCACGTTGAGGGCGATCGAGTAGTCCAGGAGCCCGGAGCGCGCCAGGTTCATCGCGTCGTTGACCAGCTGAGCCCTGTTGATCGGCGCTGTCCCGAACCCGAAAGAAAACAAACGCAAAACAAAGCAATAGGAGAAAATCGCCCCCCAGCGGGCTTACAGACTGATTTAGTGACTACTAGAGTCCCTTTATACTGAGAGTCAAGACAACACCCCCTCATAGAGTCACAAACGGGAATAAAGTATATACAAATTGAACGTTTTTCGTAATCTTTGATCGGCCCATTCTCAAATTCCTTTCTATGTTCCTTCTCTCATTCCGTTTGTTCCTTGCCGAACCCGTAATTCCCTGGTCCATTCCAGATTATAATCTTTGCAATCGGTGAAAATGTAATCTTTATTCCCGTTTGTGACACTGTGAAGGCCTAAAATACGGGAACCAATCAGAAATGGATTCACATTGTCTTGACCCTCAGTATAAAGGGACTCTAGTGACTACGTCATCCGATATGATACCGGACTCGTGGTTCAAAGCAAAACAACCTAACTTAAACCTCCACTGGTAAAAAAAACCTCTTGGACCAATGCCGCACTGCCGCAGTGCATTGACTTAAGAGTGCAGTTTCTTGTCGCCGGATTAACGAGTCTTAAACTCTTGTTTCAAGCGGATTTTACATTAAAACAAGAGTCCAGACTCTTAAATCCGGCGACGAGAAACTGCACTCTTGAACCAAGAGGTTTTTTCTTACCGGTGTACTTACACATGCTTCGTGCGTTAACACGGATAAAAAAGTGTCAGGGGTTATCCCCTAAAATTGTGGTACTACCCCAATTTGTTGGATGATAAGGACATTTTCAATTAATTTTGGTAGTGTCGCAACTCAAGTTGGGGTGGTACCGCAACATTTGTGTTAGTAACTTAATTTATTGGGAAAGTATCACGATTAATTGGGGTAATGTATAACATCATTGGAAATGTCCATATCATACAACAGTTCAGACATATCCCTTATCTCTTTTTTTACGTGAATGGAGAATTAGCAGGTGACACGAGGATACCATTGGTTCATAGATTGAACAATTATTCGAGGAGATATGACAAAATGATCAAATCTGCTGAAATACATGTGTTTAAATGGGAAATGCGGCCAGATGACGTCACTAGGCGGTGCATTTTCTCACTATGAAATACATTTTTATACTATTTCCCATTGAAGAAAAACGTATAATAAACACAGCAAAATCAGCTCTTTAGACAGTTTCAGATGAAGCAATAAAAAATTTGCGTGCAAATTCTCCATTATGTAAATTCATCAAGATTTAGACAGTGACCGGTCATAAGTCAATTAAAGACTATTAACCACGAGAGATGTTGATAATCAGGCGCGACGAGCGAATCAGAAACTAGGTTCTGTGTTTGTTCAAATTTGAACCAAGGGATATAATGTCGAATGAAGTAGCCACTAAATCGGTCAATTCATGAAATAAAAACGTCCCAGACTAATATTGCCGTGATAAGGATGAACGCCGTAAGAGACCTCAGAGGTTGCCGTCATTCATTATATGTATGAAAAACAAATATACTGGAAAAATCGTGGAGGTTTCGCTGCAATTTAAAGAAAATTGGGCTCGCAATTCAATCTAAAATATCTGGAGACTTTAAGAAAAAATATGCGAAGCTAGTCTCAAAAATCTCAAGCTAGTCTTATCAGGAGAAATTTGCCAAGAGGTTGTCATATTCACTGGAAAAAAAACATTGGATCTAGAGTCCAGACTCTTGATAACATTGACAAGGAAAAATACTCTTAATTCAATCAGATTTTTGGTTGAATCAAAACGAAATCTGCTTAAGTAAGGAAGCTTGGTTCTTGATTTAGGCTAGATCCTGATTGAATCAAGAGTAATTTTTCTTGTCGATGTTTTAAAGAGTCTGGACTATACATCCAATGTGTTTTTTCCAGTGTTCTTTTCAGTAAAAGACGAATATACTGAAAAATTGTGGATATTTTTCTGAAATTTTCAGGAAATATAGTTCGCAATTCAATCTTTATATCTGAAAATTGCAAGAAGTATGTATAGCTCTCCTCAAAAATAAATGATTTATCCGAAGAAAGAAAGGCTTGAATGTTCGTGCGGTGTTCTTTCTTAGCACGGTAGAATAGCCAAATTATGTATTTGAAGAAAAACCTGAGCAGTTTATCAAATTTTGTAGAGTAGCCACATTTGTCATTGTTTTTAGAAAGTAGTTCATGATTTCTCCACGTCCTGTAATTAAACCTCTTTTAAAATGCGGATTTCATTTGTTATTCGGATCCTGAGAAAGGAGAGGAGTCGCAAAAAGGGGGGGGGGGGCACCCTGAATGTCATGAACTCGCAACGATGTTTCTGCTCATTGTCTGTCTACTTCACCGAATGCAAATTCGGTGAATGTCGAGTTGCCGTTAAAATAAAGTGAAATACATCTTGGATCAATTGTGAATAGTTTTTAACGGTCTGCCGTTTAAATAATTAATGGCTATTGATAGTGCGAACTACCAAAGAAAACTTACCGATGAGTGTGTAAGTTTTTGGGTTTTGCAGATAGTCTATCAGCAATCGCCAATTTTCGGGATCGTAGTTGACCCTGTAAATTCCTGCAAAATCGGGACAGTGAAATTACGATGGATTGCATTTCGATACAGCTTATTAACGATTTTTCGAGACAAATGTAAAATTCAAAGGTAAAGAAAAACATAGGAAGACTGATTAATACACTTTGAATTCAAACAAACATGTTTAATACATTCTTCTTGTATGCATGGAACCCGCTAGCAAACTCACTAATAAATGTAATGATAATTCTGACCTCAGTTGGGTTCGGTTCGGACAGGCCACTAAACTAACTGCCTTGCAAAGCGGAGAGTGTCATGAGATTTGAAGGCGTTCCATGTCGAGATCATGCCAAATAAGTTTTTCATCGATGAAACTTTTGCAGTTTTGATGTAAATAATAGCAATTTGAAGAGTTAACAGGCATGCCACTTGCAAATTGCAGGCGATTGCTGACCTGCGACTAATTGACATGAAGTGAATTTAAATTTGACGTGAACTGAATTTGACTTCGACGGAGGTTCAGTGCGTAAAGAAGACGGCAATACGGAACTCCATCTTCCATTAATGATTTTCAGCAACAAAGCGGCCGATCCAGCAGACGTGGCCAGATATCCAAATGATGGGTTCTAATTGACATCCTATTCCTAGAGCATGTGTTCCACCATAGAATACCGCGCGAGGACGTGTTGTTTACGTCTCTGGGGTTGATGTTGTAAAGGGAAAGAACTCCATTCTAGCTTGGTTCCCCGGTACCAAAAAAATCTGTCTTATACAGTCGCTATAATGTTGACTTTCGTAGGCCGAACCGATAGTGAGCCGCTCTGCAGAATATGCATTACCGACGTAGAACTAGGTACGTTTTTGTAACAAATTAGTAATATTTACCTATAGGCTAAGAATCGCTGGAATCCCTCCCTTTCTTGAACTGATAATTAAAAGGGAGTATTCAATTATTTGGGATACTTATTTAGGTTTAAAATTATTGGTTCCGTTGTCGGTTTATTTCTACTTACAAATTTTTTTTTTTGTTTTTTTTTTTTGGTAATTTTTGGAAGGTGGTTAAAATGGTGTATCAACAGCAAGTTTGGTTGGCATGTAAAATTGGTGGCGGAAGTTAGCACATGGCAGTTATTTACACCAATTGGATTGCATTTTGCAAAAAGGAACCACTAGCATTGCAATGTTGCAAGCTTCAAAGCTCCTTGAATAAGAACTCACAAAGGACGAGCAATTATCCACCTAAGACCTCGTCTCAGAAAGAAGATGGCAGTTCTTGCTCAGAAGGTACAAGCAAGTCAATGAGCCAGGCCAAAAGACTGGCCAAGCCCAGAATTCCTCGAAATAGGAGCAAGGAATCTTCGGATTGTGCAACTTCTTTTGTCTTGGAGGAAAAACCTAATTATTCATTAATAGTTTCTATTTTACTCGCTAAAAACTGTGAATTTAAACAAAAATTACCATATAAATTTCACAGTATTTCACGATTTCCACAACTTTATTCCAAAGGATGAAGTTGCACAAGCATCATTGCAATGCTAGTGGTTCCTTTATGCAAAATGCAATCCAATTCAACCTGGCTTTGTTCATGTGATCTTCCTCAATAGTAACACAATGAGGATAGGGTCGCCAGAAATTCTAAGAGCCGTCTACGGTGCCATGGCCAGGCAACTCCACGATGCCCCAATCGGAGCTTCGTACTGCTTCGGTGACAGACTCTACGCTTGCGTTGACACATCAACTCAAACGTCCTTTCGTAGAGACATAATATAGTGATTTCAAAAATTTAAATTTCTCGCTCAAATTGCGACAAAAATGACAAGAATTCCGGACCTTCGTGGGGAGTTTTCGCATTTTTTCAGTACTTCCGGACCGCCCCACGGTGGACCGAGTCAATAGGAGAGGTCGGACAAAATTTGGAAATTTTAAACGCTTATAGCTCCGTTTTTACAAAACTTGAGGATCCAAAAGTGGCTCCATCGGTTTTCTCGTAACATTTTCTTTCAGAGGCACCCCTTAAAATTTAAAATGTGACGAAATAAACATCAAAATTTGCAGTTTTAGTCTAAAATTTCATGTCCGACCTCTCTAATTGACTCGATCCACTGTGCGCCCTTGAAAAATCAGTATTATTTCCGGACTTTCCAGAAATTCCGGACTAGTAGACACCCTGCGAAAATGGAGGCGAGATTGGGAGTGGCGCGGGTTGCATACCTGTTTGCTGGACGTTGAAGAGGACCCACTCCTGGGCGGTGGCGTTGACGGAGGCGAGGACTTTGCCGTGCTCGGCTTTGAGCCAGAGGTCGGGGCGCGTGCTCTCGAAATCCAGGAGCCCGGCCGTCGTGTACGTGATCGGGATCCACCAGCCGCCTATCCGGTCTCCTCTCTGGATGTTCTCCGGGTACAGGTAGAACCGTTTCTGCGCAAACGCCACGGCAATATATGAACACACCCCAGAGAGTGTACACAAATCCACCTAATGGACCACTAGACAAGGTACGAATTTCAGCATTCTGATACATGTTTCTCAACCAAAATTTCACGTAGAACACGATACGCACAACGAAAATTACCAAAATCAACTCCTGACGAAGATATTAAATGATTCTTGATGCGTGAATTCAAACCACCCGCTCATGAAAACTCAAAGCTCTACGTGACTCACATCGCGCGCTAAACGCTAGCATGACAGTCTCTGCGATATAAAAATCTGGAAACCTCAATCTTGACGCTTTGGCTCAGCTATAGCAATTTGAATATAGTTTGAACAACACATGGTGGAAAATGAACATTGCCCAAAGCACAAAGCACCTCACTTGCTGGAAGAAGTTATCTCCTTTCTTGTTTGGATTGATTGAAGTTTTCTCAAAAGAATTAGATCATCGTGGATTCATGACTTGATTTGATTTAGGTAGGAAATTAATTGAAATACTTGAATTGGAAATCAAAACAATGTTGTTTTTGTCTGTCATTGTGTCGGATTTTGTGGAATCGTGGGACTCTAATAGAATGAATGAGGATACCTAATTGGTTATGGTGGCAGATGCGTACTACTTGATTTGATTTTACACGATTACCTACCTCATTTCTTCTATCTTTGCTAACTCACCTAGATCTTTTAGTATATCGACGGTGTAAGTCGGCAATCACATAACTCGTTTGCGGTGTCTGAAAATCTCCGCCTCTATGTTGTTTTTTTAAAAGAGAACAAATTGACATCATTCCTTGAAGTTTATGCAGAGTTTTCTTCGCACAGAGAAGAAAAATCACGGAAGTTTTAAAAAATTGCCGTTGAGTAGTTTTCCGTTTAAAAAATAAGGTATGACAGGAAGTCTGCGACGTCGCAAACCGAGTTATGTGATTGCCGACTTACACCGTCGATATCTGCTCATTTAAAGGCGGGTTGTAGTAGTGTATGAGGTAGTTAGTTTCACCGTCGATATTTATTAGAATGAAAATGAACTAGCTTCTACGGTTCAGAACCTCCGATATCCTCAGTTATTCTGTCACTTCGTCGCCTCATTCCATCACTACGCTCAACTCAGCACTCAGCTGATGACCGCGCGTAGCCTTTTCCCCTCCCATTTCTCCGCCACCCTGAGTTGCCATGAGTCCGATTTTCTTCTTACACTGCCGTGCTAAGGACAAACGCCGTACGAGCATTCGAGAGTTGCCAAATCTCCCACAGTCAAATGTTAAATTTTGAGGACATTTATGAATATTTTCCCCTGAAATGTTCAGATACTATACATTAAATTGTGAAAGAAATTCTGAAAAGAATTTGGAGAAAAATATTTACAAGTTTTCCAGGAATTTTGTATTTCATCGAAGGAAATTTGGCAATGTCTGAAGGCTCGTACGGCGTTTTTCCTTAGCACAGCAGTACAGCACCATGTCATCCTCTACGTTATTACTCTCATCTCGCATCTCGCTGTATCTTTCCCCTTCCCATTTCATGCGGCACGCGTAAGGTATCACTCAATACCTTCCCCTCGCCCAATTAAGTACCTTACGTAATTTACAGAAAGCTTCACTGAGTATTTTGACGTATTTCTATCAAACGGAACTATGTGCATTAAACCATGAGCCCTGAGACCCATAAGAATACACGCGTACTTAACAGGGCTTATGTCATCATGCACATAGTTCTGTTTGATAGATGTACGTCCATTTGATCTTTGGATCCTTCTTAAATAGAGTTCTCGCCAAATAAGTTGCCCGACTTTTGAAGTACGACAGAAGACCATTCATTTTCATTCCTCGTTTTTGGACTTAATTAAATGCAAGAATCTCCTGTCTCTCTCTCGAAGTCGGCCAACAACTTGGGCAAGAACTCTGCTTGAGGCCCACTTATATTTTTTCAGGAGTTGAATTATGGAGACGAATGGAGCAAATAAGAGTGCTGCTCCGAAACGGAAATCAGGTTTCCAGCGTAGGGCTGAAAATAAGGTCCGCAAATTGAAAGATGCAGCCGCCTCTTGTTCCAGAATAGCTCAATTTTTCATCGCTTCAAAAGAACCAGTTGAACCTTTAGAGCATTCATCTGGACCTTCAATGAGTTCAATGTGCCCTGAGTCATCCAGGGAAGACCCAAATCACCCAAACAAAACGCGAGAAGAATCCGACGCGTGCCCCGAAATATCGGAAGAAAACCCACAACCCTCGGAGTTGAACGTAACGCGAAAAGAATCCAAAAGCTGAGAGACTGAAACTGGACCTCAGGTCAAAGAACCATCAGTTGTTACGCACATTACATGTACGAAAGAGGATTCCTTCGATTTTTTTAAGAAACCATCCTTGCAGGATCTTGATGTATTTTTTGGTCGACATCCTTTTCAGCCGGATGATTCGTCGTCTAAACAGAAGTTACCTTTCGAGCAGAGCATTTATTTTTCCCACCTCGACGGTAATGAAACCATTAGGAGAAGCTGGATATCGTACAATGAGAGGAATAAAAAGCTATATTGTTCCATATGTTTAGCTTTTAGCGAAGAGTGCTCAGCTTTTTGTGAGGGGTATGATAAATTTAGGCGCACAAGTCAGGCATTAAAGGAACATGAAAAATCTCGCCATCATATTAATTCCGTTGCAGTGTTTCTTGCACGGAAAAACAGTTGCTCTATTGATAAGTTGTTACTTCAAAAACAACTTGAAGTAAAAAATTTACAGGTCGCAAGAAGAAGACAGGTCCTGTCGACAATTATCGAAGTGGTAAAATTTTTGGGAAAGCAGGCCCTACCTTTCCGAGGGAGGGCAGAAAGTGTGTTTAGGCTAGATGATCCAACTGCCAACCATGGAAACTTTCTCGAACTTCTAATTTTAGTCAGTAAGTTTGATGCAAATTTACAGGACCATCTACATAAATGTATCGAAATCAGTAAAGCCACCCACGATGAAAATCCAGACGTGAAAAATAGAGGGAGAGGTAAATTTGTTACCTTTCTGAGTAAGACGACTTTAAATACAATTTTACAGATCATCAAAGGAGAGATGTTGAATATAATCTTTGATGAAATAAAAACAGCTCCCTTTTTCGCCGTAGAGATGGATTCAACAATGGACATATCTAGTTTTGACCAATGCGCAATTGTTGCTAGATAATATGTGTTGAAGGCTGAGGTGTTTGAAAGATTGATAGGGGTGAAACAAATAACTTCTTCTACGGGAGAATCTCTCTTTAATACTCTTAAAGATACCTTTAAAGAAGGAGAGCTTGATATGAATAAATGTATCGCAGATTCGTTTGATGGAGCCGCTAATATGAGCGGGGAATTTAATGGTGTAAGGGCCAAACTTCAAGCAGCTATCCCTGGGCATATTCACACATGGTGCTCTTCTCACAATTTAAATCTTTCTGTCAGTGATATGGGCGGGTGTGCCATTCTTGTAGTGTCTTTCTTCGGTTTGTTGCAAGAAAGCTATACCTTCATTAAAGATTCTCACAAACGCATTGCAGTTTACATGTCACACAACCCCAATTTCCGTCTATCAAAAGCCGTTGTAACTAGGTGGAGGAGCAGAAACGACGCCACCGTAAAAATTTTTGGCCGGTTCCATTATTGGTATGGTACCAAAGATGACAGTAAGAAAATTAAGGAACCAGTATACATGGCGTTGATATCTACCCTATCCTTGATCGGCCACTCGAAAAATTTTGATGGTAAGACGAGGAGTACAGCTTTGTCCCTGTTAGCAAAATTTACCTCTTATGAAACTATCATTGTTGCAATGACATTTTTATTCATTTTCCAATATTCAACACCATTATCTGATTATTTGCAAACTAGGAGGTTAAATTATTCTCAGGTGTCGACTTTAATTTCTGACGCGCAGCAGGATCTGCTCGCTGGAAGAGACAAATTTGACCAAATTCTTGCAGCAACAGATACTTTCGTCGAAAAGATGACGGCGAAACTTGAGAATGCTCTTGTCGAAAATGAAGAGTTAGAAGAAATTACAATTGAGGTGGATTTCCCGGCAAAGCGACAGATCCGGGTGAAACGAATGGCCGGTGAAAAAGCCTCTCATGAGATTGTAGGAACTTCCGGGAGAGAAAGATTTCGACTTACGGTTTTTTACGTTGTTATGGATACCATCACGAAAAGTCTAGAGAACCGTTTCTCTGACCACAAAAGATTGTACTCAGACTTATCTTTGTTTGATCCCAAAAATTTAGCAGAGATGCCGTCTGAAATTCCCCCCACTGCTTTGAATAGAATCTGCGAATTACTGCCAAACGTTGACAAAGGTCGATTAGTCGAAGAGCTTCTGTCGTTTGCACGCTTATGGCCGAATATTTCTAAAGGTCCGTTTAAAATCGATGAAAATAACGCAGATATGCTAGATTCCCATAGTGAATGGGTAAATGAAAACGAGAATGAGAAAACCAGTGAAACTGAAGACGAGACTAAAAATGACCAAATGGGGAATGAGAAATTTTGTAAAGAGAACAAAAGATGTAACGCATGCATATCATGTGCGATAATTGTCATTTATGAGTATAATATGTACGCCATAAGTTTTTCAGAATTGTACAAAGTGTATAGATTTTTATTAACAATTCCGATGACGCAAGTCTCGTGTGAAAGAGCGTTTTCGCAGCTAAAAATCATCAAAACGCGCTTGCGATCAGTAATGGGGCAAGACAACCTCGAGGCATTTATGCTGATGGTTGTCGAGCGAGACATCCTCCTTCGTATCTCCGATGAGCAGATTATTGAAAAATTATGCGAGGAAAGTACTGAACTCCGCAGACTCCTAAGCACCTAAAAGATCAATATTCTGTTCCCTTGGCTCATTTCCTCTTTTTCTTTATGTATATTCCTTGTTCCTACTTTGTCGAAAATAATTAAAAATCTTTTCATACAATATACAGGGTCTGAAATATTTCTTGTTTTCTTGTGTCCCTCATTTTCAAACTTTCAGTTTTTAAAAGCATGATTTTGGATCTCTTGAGCTCTGGCTTGCTTCTTTCAGAGATAACGGTGCTTGGATGCTTCCAATAGCTTTTTTTNGGCGATTAGGCGTCGCACAGCGCCAAAGAGCGCTATAAAAGCGACTCATATATATATATATACAAAAGATGTAACGCATGCATATCATGTGCGATAATTGTCATTTATGAGTATAATATGTACGCCATAAGTTTATCAGAATTGTACAAAGTGTATAGATTTTTATTAACATTTCCGATGACGCAAGTCACGTGTGAAAGAGCGTTTTCGCAGCTAAAAATCATCAAAACGCGCTTGCGATCAGTAATGGGGCAAGACAACCTCGAGGCATTTATGCTGATGGTTGTCGAGCGAGACATCCTTTTTCGTATCTCCGATGAGCAGATTATTGAAAAATTATGCGAGAAAAGTACTGAACTCCGCAGACTCCTAAGCACCTAAAAGATCAATATTCTGTTCCCTTGGCTCATTTCCTCTTTTTCTTTATGTATATTCCTTGTTCCTACTTTGTCGAAAATAATTAAAAATCTTTTCATACAATATACAGGGTCTGAAATATTTCTTGTTTTCTTGTGTCCCTCATTTTCAAACTTTCAGTTTTTAAAAGCATGATTTTGGATCTCTTGAGCTCTGGCTTGCTTCTTTCAGAGATAACGGTGCTTGGATGCTTCCAATAGCTTTTTTTTGATTGATCGATTTTACATTTTTCATCTCACAATTCTTCCGATACTTTTATTACTATGTTCAATTTCAGAATTTTCATCTGTAAGATTAATCAACTTTGAACCTGAAAATATCGTCAAAATTCGCTTAGGAGAGTTTGATTTTTAAAAAACCCCGCCCCCTCCGAGATTTTGTTTTGCGGGGGGGGGGGGGGGGGGGTTGTCTCGCATACTTCTGAGCGAAATATCACATTGCGCCCCCCTAGCCGGCTAAGGGTATGCGCCCCCAGAGATGCGTCAGTCCGACCCTGCAGCCATGGAGAAAGTGAGAAGTATATTGACTGAAAGAGTCATAGATTGTGATTGCCACCTAGCACAGTACTCTGTAAGTATTGTATATACTTTTTTTCCCTTGAAAAAGATCGTGGGCTGAATAGTCAAAAGAGAAAATATAAGTTCTTGTGTTTGCTTTCCACAAGCAAAATATGTACTAATCAACTCAAGAATTCAGGTGATAGAAAAATGAAGGTTTTACAATAACGATTGTGCTCTTTAATTATATGATATTATATTAAAATATCATTGAATATCTTTGTAAGGGGTTGATTTCGGTAATTTTTGTTGTGCGCATCGTGTTCTACGTAAAATTTTGGGTTAAGAAGCATGTATCAGAATGCTGAAATTCGTACCTTGTCTAGTGGTCCATTGTAATGTACCAGAATGCTGAAATTCGTACCTTGTCTAGTGGTCCATTGTAATCTTATTGTTTATTTCCTCTTTTTCATTGACAACTAAACTGACAACCAAAGCTCACTTACAACTAAAACTCTCGATTAAAACAGTAACAGTCTCTTCAGATCCGCAGTCCAGATTTGTGTGTCTGATGTTGGAGCATCCTCTATTCCAGGCAGGTAATAACCCCACGAAAATATACAGGGTTATTCAAAAGTTACGCACCACTGGCCATAACTTTAGGTCTAATTAAGATATCGACTTGCGGTTTAAGACATTTATCCTCATATCGAGGGGGGCAATTTTTAAGGTCCTTTCCAGTTTCTAATCCCCTCGGGGGCGGCGGGGGGGCAACTCAAAAAGTTCAAATGACCACCCCCCTCAGGGCCAGTGGTGCGTGACTTTTGAATAACCCTGTAGCTCAATGTGTAAATATAGCTAAATGTATAAATATTGCTAAATATAGTAAAAAAGCTAATTGTAATACTTGGGTCACGGTGGCTGATCCGTCCTCGTAGTTGCGGATGACCGTGACGAGCGGGTACCCCGTTTGAAGGGTCCACGTGTCCATGATCTGCTTCACAGTTTCACTCTTCTCCAGGATCCCATCCTGGTGCGCGAACAGAGTCAGCGAGTGCCACAGGTCGTTCTGGTTCGCGTTCTGATAGCTCCTGAAAACGCATTCAATTGAGAGCATGAACTCGGCTCAATAGACGGCTCAGGAGAAGAAGGAATATCTCCGACTTACCTGCCCGCTTTGAGTAACTTACTCCATGACTGTAGATGTGGCGATAATAAGTCTGATAGCTTGAGGACTAATCTAGATGGCAGATTTCTGCACCTATACTAGTCTGAGGCTTAAAAGAGTAGCATTGACACAGAAACGGCACATGGAGCAAATAAAATTACACAGAAATCTTCTTTAATCTATTTGTTACATTTTGTCTCTTAACATTGTTAATTTTCTCATTTTGTTTTGTTTTTCTTTTATAAGTTATATCTACACTTCTATTTGGTACATATTTTATTAAGACAACAACTGCAGTATTAAATACTGTTGGTAAGAATAATAAGTATCGTATTAGAATACTTATTATACGTTCTTTACTCTTATAACTTTAACTTAATATTAAAAATAGTCAATAGATACCTTAGGTTAATTGGGTAGTAGTGACACTTATTGTATTGGTTAATATCAATAAAATTAAAAAAAAAAAAAACAAAAAAAACAAAAAAAAAAAAACACTCATCGCCAGATCCTTCGCGACGATGGTTTCGTTAGGTCAACGTCAAGTTAGGCTAATGTTCAAGCTCAAATGTTGATGTTGCACGATTTATTTAGTTTTTAATTTTTTAGCTTTTATTTCAGTTGAGAATGGGCACGTAATTAGCCCGAAACGTCCTGGTTTGTTCGTTCGATTTCCTTGGCCTTGGAAACCCATTTGTTTAGTACGTAATGTGTTCGTATTGTTAATGTTTAAGGACGAGTGGAAGGAACGTCGGGGTACATGACACCACGGAACAGAACTTTAACACTCCATTTGTACAAAAAAAAATCAGACGTCGAAAGTATGTGCACTGATGATTGTGGTTACGTTCAAAGGTCAAATGTTAAAGTTAAATGGTCATTTTCTTGTTATAATTTTTAATTTTTAAGTATTTGTTCCAATTCATGATCAGGCGAATGACTGCATTGAATAAAACAGTCAATTTCATTACTGCCTTAGTAGGCAAGTTTTATAGAATAAGACCGGAAATCTTATCAAAACCGCTGTTCATAGCGCCTTGATTTAGACCCATTGAGTATCAATACTTTAATGTCAAGGAAAAAGTATGTAATTTAATTGAAGGCGTTTTGTGTTACAGCGTTTCAGAAGTTGTTTCTCAACAGTTGTAATTGTAATAATTGGAGAACCAGCAATTTAGGCTAAATTAAAGTAAAATATCCTCGTTTTAAGGACTCAAATGCGCCGTAAGATCCAACAATCGCGCGGGAAACAAGGTGTCAATTTTTGATATAACAAATCAATCGCTAAAATTAGAATTAAAAACCTGCAAGCCGATTATGAACGATCGAATTAGTATCGGAGCCAAAGCTCTAACCAATCCACACCTGTCAGTCATTTCCGGGGATGCCTGCATCCTTCACGGGGAAGTTCAAATGCAGTACATTTCTTACGCGAGCAGCCAATCGCATGGCTGCGGTCACAAGATGGTCCGGCGGCCGATATCCGGTCCTCACAGGAAATGCTACTATGACCTTGGCTGCGGTCACGGCCTCGCGGCGGATATCCGGTGCGTTTCCTCGCAATGCGCATGCGCGTATGTGTACCGCCAAATTTCGCAGTGTTAGTGGAAGTGTGACTTGTGCCTCCGTCTAGATTCTTTGTAAAATGCCATTGGCGCTGTGCCGCCGAGGCGCCTTTGTTTAAAACCCGGCTATGATCTATTTCAAACGAGGAAGTGTCCGTTAGTCGGGAATTGTGTGGATCGTATATGCTCCCTATGTTGTTCTAATTCTTGGTTCTTTTAAACGACCATCCATCTTGTGTTTACGTTCGGCCAGGTAGTCGTGAATTTTTGACTGTCGCCTTAATGCTTTGACCAACCGCATTTTTTTAAATCCAGTTTAAAATTGTATGGATCCAATGTTCTATGGAATCTCCCCTTTTGTGTGTGATTAATTTATAGTTCATTTGTGGATTATGGATCGTGGCTCTAGAATAGATTTTAAGGAGGCATTCCTCCTGTCCATAAAGTGCATCCTAGATACGGACGATGTTTATGAACAGTTAATAAATGACTTGAGTCTCATCGGAGAGACATTTAATTTTTCATTCTCTACGTGGGATGCATTAATCCAAGTCTTGTGCTCTTTCCTGAAGGACGATGATATAAGAAGCAAGGATGGTGTTCGAGTTGTGCCTTTGATCAGTCAATGTCAGAAATGAATAATAAAACAACCAAGAGCCGAAAATCCCGGGATCCCTCGAGTAACGGGAGACACATGAGCGCGGAACAAAGAGCTCACCTCATAGCTTTTATGGAATCCCATCCGACATTTGCAAAAACAAATATGTGCCCTGGGCCCATGGGCAAGTTTCAAGGAGATGTTCTCTGGACGTCGTTGGCCGAGGAGCTGAACAGGATGGGGCTGGCTGTAAGGCCGGTCAAGAAGTGGCGGCAGGTAAGCAGAGACCTCGCAAGATCGGCGCGAATTTTTAAAAAAACACTTGAGAGGTTGATGGAGGAAGTTTCCTCGTCTTACCTTTAGAGCAGGGCTGATAGCCGGCGTCCTCTCTCCTGCTAGTGCATCGTGGCAGCAAACGGCGATGGCCCAAGCGTCCTCTTTCCGCAATCGGAAATTCNTGTGTACCGCCAAATTTCGCAGTGTTAGTGGAAGTGTGACTTGTGCCTCCGTCTAGATTCTTTGTAAAATGTCAGAAATGAATAATAAAACAACCAAGAGCCGAAAATCCCGGGATCCCTCGTAACCCCGAGTAACGGGAGACACATGAGCGCGGAACAAAGAGCTCACCTCATAGCTTTTATGGAATCCCATCCGACATTTGCAAAAACAAATATGTGCCCTGGGCCCATGGGCAAGTTTCAAGGAGATGTTCTCTGGACGTCGTTGGCCGAGGAGCTGAACAGGATGGGGCTGGCTGTAAGGCCGGTCAAGAAGTGGCGGCAGGTAAGCAGAGACCTCGCAAGATCGGCGCGAATTTTTAAAAAAACACTTGAGAGGTTGATGGAGGAAGTTTCCTCATCTTACCTTTAAAGCAGGGCTGATAGCCGGCGTCCTCTCTCCTGCTAGTGCATCGTGGCAGCAAACGGCGATGGCCCAAGCGTCCTCTTTCCGCAATCGGAAATTCTGCTGGAATTTTTTCTTTGGCATGTTAAATGGGTTGCAATTGTCCCTTAACGTTTTCCTCCATATTCTTCTCTCCTTAATTAGTGCTCGCTCCTCTATCTCTTCATTTACAACTTCCTCGTAGTTCTCAATGACTAGCACAAGATTCGCCATCTTTGAAACTAAACCCAAATCGATGGGTCCGGACCCATCGATTTGGATTTCCATCGATTTCGGGATTCTGATCGATTTAGGGCCGTATTTCTGCATCGATTTGTGTCCTATCGATTTGACCGGCCCATAAGCGCAATGCTTTTCTTAATCGATAGCATCCCCAAATCGATCAGAATTTCTGTCAGAATTCGATCGTTCATAATCGGCCTGCTGGACAAGGATACAACAAATCAAGCGCCAACATTAGAATAAAAAACCTCGAAAAACCGTTAAAAGGCTTCGGTCCGAAAGATTAGAGTTATGATAGTTCTAGGGGGGGCTCCATATTCTAAATATCTTTCGACGAAATTCCATTGCTAAATGCTTGCGGGCAACAGAGGGTTACAAAAGCCGGAGATTATAATAATACGGCCATCTTACTTTTCAAGAAGGTAGTGGTTCAGCCCCTTTTTGAAGACCGGTGTTGTAAGGAAATGATCCATCATGCGAATGAGGCAGGCTCCTGCAACAAGTCGGGAAGAAAAGCTTCTGTGATGTAACTCAGCAGAACTTCTGAGTAATTCAGTTTCAATGTTTCTATGTGTACGTTGTTTTTCTACCTCTGTATAATATTGTGAATATTGAACTTCGGCAAAAACATTAGACAATTGTTTCACTGAAAGAATTTTGTTTTACCCATTGACACTAGGAACCTAATCGTTTCACGCAGGAAAGAAAAAATAGGAAATGAAACTTCTCGTGTTCATCAAAATTCCATCTAGTTCAATTTATTCCTACACTGGAAAAAAACACATTGAATCTGGAGTTCAGACTTTAAAAAACATCGACAAGAAAATATACTCATGATTCGTTCATATTGAAGCTTAAATCAAGAGACAAGCAAATTTCCTTTTGATTTAAGCCTAAATCTGATTGAATCAAGAGTCCTTTTTCTTGAAACTGTATAATTCGGAAAATAAAATAATATATTTTTAACTGTAATAAAAACTGTATCATTCGGGGAGGTCCTCATCATAAGAATAATGTATTCTTCGTTTGGTTTCAGAACACCGACGTTTTAGAACAACACTGTCGGTCTATAATTTGCGCCGCAAATAAAAAATCAAAACTGAACATAAGACAGATTCATCCCAATGACGATGAAATCTTCAAATCCCAAGATAATTTTCGTTTGGGAAAAAATTAGATTCAAGTTCCCATTGTCTGGATCATTAATTTATCCTTGGAAAAAATTCAACTGCTAAATTGCGCCCCCATATTGCTGACTCACCAGTTATTCCGTCCCCAGAGGAGGTGGGAACGCAAATGGGGTTGAAGATGAGGAATTATTTGTCACTTTACTTGCCGGATTTTCAGAAAGAAGTACGAATTTTGTTTTAAAAAGTGACATTTTGAAGGCGAACTACATTCCAAAATTATCTCGGGTTTTCTCTCTCACGCGAGAGCGAAAACGTAAAAAATGAGCCTTTAAGTGATAATCGAAATTCCATCAGGTTCTATTAATTTTGTGCTCAGGTAAATGGGTATTTAAAGCCATAAAACGCAGGAAAGTAAACGTGAAAAATGAACCTTTTCCGTACGAGATCCTGTCGAAAATCTCCGAAATTTCGTCCGGGTGAGAGACAGGAGTGTATACAGGATGCGAGGACTGGAGAGAGTCCAAGGTAAGCACCAAGTGCAGCTCATTCGTGACCAGTTGCTCCATTACATGCCATTTCGGCTCCACCTACGGCACGAGAACATTTACTCCCAACATGACTTTGAAAAGGAAACCTCCAACCTTAAAAAATATTTCATTTCAATTTTCTGTTTCCTCGGCTTGAGTGTAGCCATTACTGGACATTCGCATTTTCAAAATGATTGTATCGACGCTTCTCAAGGTGGGTATTTTTTGTGAAAAATAAAATCTTGAAACACATGCAATATTTCACGAAATTTCGAAATATTATTAATTATACTGAAAAATATCAGTTCCTTTTCATGTTCCGCAAAATGTAAAAATTGAGCATTTCTTCAATATCGGTGAACTTGAGTGCCATCTTGAATGAGATCAAGGAAATCGCAAAAATGGTTGATGTGTTCTTCATTCGCCGGACCAATTAAACAGTTCTTAGCCGCTAGAATACCAGTTAAACCTTGGCAAAAGGATGCATGCAATGCAGGATGACGTTCAAGTCAGCGCAAGGGCGGGCTTTACCGCCGGTTAGGACTCTCAGTTGCAGCACCGCAAATGATATAACCATTGCAAATGTTAATTTGCGTCCACGGCAAAGAAAAAATTAAGAACTTCACTGCAACGAGTTGCCGTCGAGAAAACTGATTGAAAAATCGGACGGCCAAACAAAAAACCCTTATTCATTTACGGACCCCCATTGGATCGGAGCTTAAAAATTGTCACACTCATTCAGTGATCGAATTTGGGCCAGTTTGTACAATTATCGACTTAAATTTCGTCGACGCAAAATCTCTGAGCAGTGATCAGCAATATTTACTCCTGAATTTCATGGCAGTTTCAGGAGGTTATTCCGAAGAAAGCCTTGCAAGGAGAAAATCAGGAAATATGGCTCACACGATGGATCGGATCACATGCAACTGCTTATTTTAGCGATCCGGCCTAACCGAGGAAGATCAGTCACTGGTTTCCTTATCGGACATTACTTAATGAGATTTCTCTGCGAGGAAAAATCAAGTTTATACTTGATTTTTCCTGGACTGTTTCCACGTGGGTCCAAGGACAATTTAGGTTTTGAGTGATGCCTACACGGCGAAAGTCGAGGATCGCTTAGTGAATGAAGTTTTCAGATTAAAAATCAAGGTGAGGATTGTGTACAAGGAATATGGTAAGATAGAAGACTGGGCCCTGTTCTGGCGACAGAACAGAAAGAGCATAAGAAATGGTGATATTATAGTTTTTGCAGCGGGGAGAGGTAACGTATTCGCAAGTGAGGGAGGAACAGTCATCGACGGGATCTTGACCTGCAAAATATAGTTAAACATCTTCGAATGAGCTTATGGTATGTCGGAATAACTCATCCGTATGACCTTTGGGTCAGAAGCTGTGTCAATAATGAAATCGACCGTGTTAACAGAGAGGTCGCGAAATAAATTTCAATACCATAAGTATACATACAAGCATGGCTTAAAATTAAATTGTATCAGATTGTATCAGTAAATTAAAGATGAGCCCCGAAGCCAGAATGTCCTGGTCAGGCAATATCTACTTGAGGAATGTCCCTATTCCATCAACGACTTCATAGAGGGGACAGGTTGAAATCATTGTCGTTATTTATATATTTATTCTTGTTTTTTGTTTTGAGAGTTTGACGCATTTATAAAAGCCATGTGCACAAAACAACAAATAAAGCTATATATTATATATTATTATTATTATCAGTGCGTCTCAACATGAGCTAAGACGGACCCATTGCCTTACCGAGTCCATGCCGATGTACTCGACGTAGCTGGCGAACCCCTCGTTGAGCCATAGATCAGACCACCACTCCAGCGTGACCAGGTTGCCGAACCATTGGTGGGCCAGCTCGTGGGCCACCACGGTCACCACCCTCTCCTTCTGGCTCATGGAAGAGGTCTCCTGCTGGTAGAGCATCGCTGTTTCCCTGCATCAACGTTCACATTTGAGAAATTCATCTATTTATCAACATTTTATTCACTGAACAACTAATATGAGGAATGGAACCGTGATGGTGTACATTATTTTATGTGTATTGATTATTTACATGATATAGTTGCTGAAGCTTTCCAGTTGCACCTTGTAACGAGGCAAATCCCCCTTCTCTGCAAAACAGGTGCAGGACATCAGAGGCACATAAGTCCTTCTGGTATAAGTTAAGCCAAAGTTACTGGAGGTGCCGGAATGAGCTCGCCGGGATCCTGGATTCGGGCGCCGATTTTAAAAATGATGAGTTTGAAAGAGGGGAAGAATGATCAAAATCGTATGTCTCAAATTTCTTGATTTATATACAAAAGAATGTGCTTTAAGGAGGTTTAAACCCAAGACTATATCATGAAAAATTGGAAAGCACCAGGAAACTGATTTGCATTGAAACGAGAGTCCAGACTCTTAAATCCGGCGTCAAGAAACTGCACTCTTGAACCAAGAGGTTTTTTTTTACCAGTGTGGGTATACTGACCGGTAGGTGATGAGTCCCCAGTTCTCCATGGCGCCGGCCTGGAAGTCGGGGAGGGCGATCATGTCGATCTTGGGGAGGGGGTACTTGATGCCGAAGTACTCCTCGAAGTACTCGAGGATGCGGGGCCCGATCTCGAGGCTGTAGTGGGCCTGGGCGAGGGCCGCCTTCCGGGCCCACACCTTGAAGCGGGTCCCGTTCCCCTGCTGCTCCTCGTTCGTCGACATGCTCGCGAAGTCCGAGACCACGAACGCCACCAGGTAGGTCGACATCGGCACCGACTCCTGGTAGTGGTCCCACACGTAGTCCGGCAGGCCCTCCCTGAAACAAACCGCCGCACGGGTTTCACTAAAGTGCCCAAGGGAATCAGGGAGAATGTTGTTCGCGGGTACCGGGGTACCCGAGCGGTTAAGCTTCGTCTCCACGGGGCGTTTCATGGGACTTTCCCCAAAGTTCGCGAATCGCAGGCTCCGAACTGAACTACCGGGCTTTTTTCCCGTTAAGGTGATTCGATGGACGCCATATTTTGTGTCAGAACGGCATGTGATATATCGCATCAATTGGTTCAATTTTTTCAGCTACTCATCATTAATATCCAATTTTGAGATCGCAATTCTGTTGTCAGGAGACTAAAGCACTCACTTACCAATTTTAACAAAGAAATTCAACGTAATTAAGGCGTGGTGTTTTTTAGAGAGAAAACATCGCATTCGATACTGATATCGAAACTGCACTCGAATGCGTTATTTTCTCTCTAAAAAAACCACACTTTCAGTACGTTGAATTTCCTTGTTAAAATTGGTAAGTGAATGCTTTGGTCTCCTGACAACAGAATTGCGATCTCAAAATTGGAGAAAAATGACGAGTAGCTGAGCATAATGGAGCCAATCGATGCGATATATCGCATGCCGCGCGTTCGTCGCTACTTGATTGTCTACTGAAACATGTTGAGCTGAACTGCGTTATACATTGGAAACAGTAGGGTGAGAGGTTACACACACCCTGTACTTGTACTTCATTTAGAATTGATATGATTCACTTCAACTCGATACTCCTCCAATGATGCTTCGCCATTCCAATTGTTAGATGCACTACTCTTAAAAGATTCACCAATTTACATAGGAAAAGACCTGCACAAAGCTATACCCTATTCAATGATTATTAAAGAGATGGAAGTTCAATGAGGGTTCGCCTACTGCTTCGACTTTTTAAAATTTGGCGCCCACCGCTAGAGTCTGAAACATTCCTTCTTTCTCATTAATTCTATGCTTTTACCTTCGTAAGCATGCATCGCTACTCCGGTTTTAAATGAACTGCTCTTAAAAGATTCACCAATCTACATATGAAATGACCTTCATAAAGATATACCATATTCGATGATAAAATTGATGGAAGAAGGACGGTTTGCCTACTGCCTCGAATTTTCAAAATCTGACGCCCAACTTTCGAGTCTGAAGCTTTCCTTCTTATACTCATATATTCTATGCTCTTATACACCTTCGTAAGCTTATTTGGACGTATTTTCATCAAACGGAACTAAGCGCCACAGGGGGAGGAAGGTAGAGGGGGGCTCGGATTGGCGGCGGAGACGGGCGTCCTGCTTGTTCCGTTCTATACTCGCAATGCTTTTCCGTGGCGCTTAGTTCCGTTTGACAGAACGCGCTATCCGGGATTCTAAATTCCTCAAAAGGAACTCAGATTGGTGCTTAGTTCCGTTTGACAGAAAGACGTCCATTTATACCACTTAATCACTTATTGCGATGTCATCGCTGATATCACTTTCTATTCTAACGATGATTCCTTTTATTTTAGTCTCATGTTTTACAATGCTTTTGATATTGCTCCTTGGGTGTGTCCACAGCACGATTATCGTAAAATTTCTTAAAAATATTTGGTTTCGTTACAGAGAACCAAGCATGCTCTAGTAATTGTTTCACGAAAGTATGTTCCACTTCCAACGTATGCTTACACGTCCGGAGTGGTGCTGATTCTGGGCATGTTGGAGATGGAGGTCATGTTCCGGTGTCGGCCGATGTGGATCGTGAAGCGGGCTTTCATGGCCGGCTCGTCGAAGCACGGGAAGGCGCGGCGGGCCTCCGTCGCCTGGAACTGCGTCGCCGCCAACCACCTGTAGAACACCAAGATCGACCNAAAAAAAAAAAAAAAAAAAAAAAATGGTATAGAAATCATGGCACCATCATTTGATCGCTATCTTGAAATGGATGGATTACGGGGCCGGAAACAGCCTCCTCCACACGGATCAGGGAAATGTCATTTCTTAAATTCTGTTGGTGTTACGTGCGTGGGTTTCTCTTAATGCAGTTTTGAGAAACTTGGAAATAGTATAACCAAGCACAAGGTTCATCAGTGGGTGGTGTTTCTGTGGTCTGTGCAGGTAAAGCAAAAAACCAATGGTTTAAAGGGGAAAAAAATTTAAAGCAGTTGATCTGCTCCCTCAAAGATATTAAGCCTTCATTATGGATAAAATAACGTGCGTTTAGCCACGAGTTACCTCAGAATGCTCACGATGAAATCCTCCAACATTTTTCTGATTCTCACACTAGGAAAAAAAAGCACATTGGATCTACAGTCCAGACTCATAAAAACACATAACAATTACTGTCTCATAAAAATTACTGTCGATTCAATCAGAATCTAGCTGAAAGCAGAGCCAAGCCTCTTAATTTAAGCAGATTTCGTTTTGATTCAAGCAAAAATCCGATTGAATCGAGAGTATTATTACTTATCAATGTTTTCAAGAGTCTGGACTCCAGATCCAATGTGTTTTTTTTTTCAGTACATGAGACATTTCGGTGAAATTCCCTGACACTTACAAAAGACGTGAATTAAAATAGTTTTCACGCAAAATTTGTTGTTCGAATTGATGAAAATTGGGTATGAACTCATTCTGGAAACCAAATATAGGTGACTTAACAGTTTATCCTTTCCTCTTTCGTCATTTGCCCGGACGTTTCTCGGTTTACGTTTCCGAATGCTAGAATCTATGCATTTACTTGACTCATGAAGGTTAGTCTCGGAATTTACCTGACTTGCTCGTCGACGGTGTAGGAGCTGCGGTAGAAGCCGACGAGCTCGTCGTTGATGTGCCCGACGTAGGAGATGAAGAGGCGGTAGCGGGTCCCGGAGAGGAGGAGGTGGGCGAAGCGGAAGACGAGGAACTGCCGCTCGGGGTCCAGGCTCATGCTCTCCACGTCGACCTCTTCCTCGGCCTGGTCGGCGGCGTGCGGGGGCGGGAGCTGCGTGACGCGGTAGCGCTCCACGCTCAGGTTGACGGCGTGCAGCGTGAAGTTCCTCGTCGCCAGCTTGACGTCGAGCGTGATGACGACGTCGCCGTGGAACGTGAAGTCGCGGCGGTGGATGAACGGGAGGAGGCGGATGTCGTAGGCGGAGGGGCGGACCGAGGCGGGGAGGCGGACGTCGAGGCGGGGCTTGTGCGGCGCGGCGAGGGCGTCCAGCTGCCGGAGGAGGGCCGTCTCGTCGGGGTCCCGCCCCGCGCCCGACGGTTCCGGCCCCGGGAGCCGGCTCAGGAGCCGGGCGGCCAGCAGGGAGCTCACGATGAGCATCGCCACGAACGCCGTCGTCAGGAGGAACGCCAGCGTCGCCGACAGGTGGACCCCGCCGCGGGTCATCTTCCCGCCCCCGACTCCACCCCCGGCCACGCCCCCTGCCGCCCCTCCACCCGCGCCGGCGTCCATGCCGCTGGCCGGGGGCTTCGGGCCGATATTATCTGAAACAGACAACAAACACCTCGTCACAGCTTTTACACAACCAAAATCAAATGCAAAGACGTACAACTTACAACAGTCTTTCATAACAACACATTTCCCGCTTTGATAGGTCCATTTCAGATGAGACTCTGTAGAAACAAAAAAAAACACACTATCTCTCTCTGTGTATAAATACAATTATGACACTGATAACACTTTAACCGCATGGCTGTCCAGAAAGTCCCGACATCACTGCGCTTTTTCAAGAGTGGGGGTGTGCAGTGCCTTAACTAAAAAGGTTTTTCAACACTCCGTCACGGCTTTTCAACAAAGAAACTCAAATACACTAGTCCGAGGTGTTCATAGAAAGAGGTCGGGGTGAAAAATAGTCAGGATCGGCTAGAAGTAGAATCTTAAGATTTTCCCTGAGGTGTCGAGTAATATCTAGCTTGCAGGGAAATAAAAATAACCTGAGGCGGTGAATTTATTAAGTCTTAAACGATTTTTTCTTTCTTACTTAAAAATACCCGTAAATGAGATATCACCGTGCTTTTATCAAGAATGGAGGTCAACCTACGAAAGGAAACTCCTTGCGATGAGAACAGGAGAGGTTGAATACGATGAATTCCGATTCTTCGTAAACGTAAAGGGAGAAAATGTGTAGTGCGTTAACTGGAATGGTTTTTCAACACCTCATCACAGCTTTCCAACTAAGAAAATCAAATACACTGATCCGAAGTATTTTACAAAAAGATGGGGTAAAAAACGGTCAGGATACGCTAAAAGTAGACACTCAAAATTTTCCCAATGGTGTCGAATAATCTCCAGCTTGCAGAGAACTGAAAATTACCCGAGGCAATTTTCAAGTCCTAAACGTTTTATTTTCAACTTAAAAACACCCACAAATGAGACATCACAGTGCTTTTTTCAGGAGCTGTGGTGTGCAGTGCGTGCACTAGACTGGTATATTTCGACACCTCGTCACAACTTTTCAACAACAAACATCAAATACGTAATCCGAAGTGTTGGACAGAATGAAGTCGGAGTAGAAAATAGTCAGGATTGGCTAAAAGTAGATCCTCAAAGTTTTCAATTTAGTGTCGAATAATCTTTGGCTTGCAGAGAACTATAATTAACCTGAGACAGTCAATTGTATAAGTTTTAAAACGTTTAACACGTCATTCCATATGATTCGAACCACCCCAAAACGCTGTGGTTAGCAGGAATTCGATCATTAGTCTACAGGGCTTTTAATGTATCGATGACAAACGAAGATCAAATTAATGAGCTGCGAATAATTTTTCAAATTTGCGTGAATAATGGATACCCTAAGTATCTAGTAGATAACATCTATATATTTAATATCCTAAGGCCTTTTTTGGCCTCATACAGTTTGTGCTAATTCGATATCGGAGACTACTGGACCGATTTTGCTCGGATTTGTTTTAAATGAAAGCTCTTAGGCTGTAGACGTGCCAACATCCCTTAGTTTTTCGATTTGCGAGACCGACGTTGCAAAATTTACCTCGATTTGATAACGACATGCTTGCGTTTTTGACGTCGGACAGTTTGTGCTAATTCGATCTCGGAAACTACTGGACCGATTTTGCTCGGATTTGTTTTAAATGAAAGCTCTTAGGATGTAGACGTGCCAACATCTCTTAGTTTTTCGATTTGCGTGACCGACGTTGCAAAATTTACCTCGATTTGATAACGACATGCTTGCGTTTTTGACGTTGGACAGTTTGTGCTAATTCGATCTCGGAAACTACTGGACCGAATTTGCTCGGATTTGTTTTAAATGAAAGCTCTTAGGCTGTAGACGTGCCAACATCCCTTGGTTTTTCGATTTGCGTGACCGACGTTGCAAAATTTACCTCGATTTGATAACGACATATTAGCGTTTTTGCCGCTGGACAGTTTGTGCTAATTCGATCTCGGAAACTACTGGACTGAATTTGCTCGGATTTGTTTTAAATGAAAGCTCTTAGGCTGTAGACGTGCCAACATCCCTTGGTTTTTCGATTTGCGCGACCGAAGTTGCAAAATTTACCTCGATTTGATAACGACATATTTGCGTTTTTGACGCTGGACGAGTCATATGGTTGGGGGACCTCCCACCCTCTGATTTTCCGTTTCCCTCTCCACGTAAACCCATCCCTACCTGCTCACAACACGTGTCACCCTTCTACCCTAGCATGGGTCCTACGGCAGTTTCACTCATGTCGGGGGTCGGCTCATGTCTTCTTCCAAGAGAATTGGTGATTTATCTTCACCCTTTCGCACCGTTACATTTTCAAAAAGTGTTCCGATTTTCTTTTCCAGGAGTGTTATTTATTTTTCAAGGTTGTTTCTTTTTCTAAAAGTAGGTAATTTTTAGTTTCCTATTCTTTGTTTTTGAATTTATCATTTTGCCTCCAGGAAGTCCTCTAAGCACTGGTAGTAGCAAAATTTGGCTCGCGAAGCGAGCCAACAGTTACTCGCGGAGCGAGTAACTGGGGGTCCAGGGGGCTTGCCCCCGGCTAGCGGCGCAAGCGAGCGTAGCGAGCTGAAGCAGCTAGTCGTGAATAAAATCTCTTAAACAAAGGATAATCATGAACAAAATGATAGTAGTTCACAGACAGTAGGATTGAATTCAAGAATTAAAATGAATTATACCATTTCAATAGGAGTAGTGAAGTATTGGTGGAATTTTTGGATCTCACGGATCTTTTCCCGCATTCAAAACTAACGATTACGTAGGGAGTATGTTCAAATGTAAAGAGAGTGAAATATACTTGGATTGCATTTTGAAAAAAGGAACCAGAAGCATTGCAATGTAGCTACGATTGTGAGACTTCATCCTTTGCAGTAAAACTATTCATATCCTGAATAAGTATAAAATTCGCATGGTAATTTTTGTCTTTAATTAACAGTTTTCAGCCAGTAAACTGAAACTGTTGATAGATAATCAGGTTTTTTCGTCTAAAAAAAAAAAAAAAAAGGTTGCACCATCATAGCAACATTGCAATGCCCCTGGTTCCTCTTTGCAAAATGCAATCCATGTTCACGGAGAAAAAAACTTCGTGCGTGGGACCCGAAGTTTGGGTCATATGGATCTCTGAAGTTTTCGGATTGAGCATCTGAACACTTGAAGTCTGTAGTCGTCGAGGTTCAAATCACACATCTGAAACTCCAGTTCTTACATCTGAAGTACTTCAGATGTGAGAACCGAAGTACTTCAGATGTAAGAACGGAAGTTTCAGATGTGTGATCCAAACCTCAGCAGCTGGACCTACAGCGTTCAGATGCTTAATCCGAAAAGTTCAGGGATCCATATGACCTAAACTTCGGGTCCCACGCACGAAGATTTTTTCTCCGTGTATGAGAATGGTCGGGTAAAACATCAGGATCGGAAATATGCATTTTCCGACACTAGCCATGAACAAGTCTGAAAGAGACTCTGATTACAGGTGCTACGACATCTATTTCGCAGGAAATGCAAGAAACTGTTTATAGATAATCAGGTTTTTTGTCTAAAACAAAAGAGCTTGCACAATCATAGTAACATTGCAATGCTCCTGGTTCCTTTCAGCAAAATACAATCCATTTATGAGAGTATGGTGGAAAAAAAAATCAGGATCGAAAATATGCATTCTCCAACACTAGCCATGAACAAGTCTGAAAGAGACTTCGATTACAGGTGCTACGACATCTATTTCGCAGGAAATGCAAGAAACTGTTTATAGATGATCAGGTTTTTTGTCTACAAAAAAAGAGAGTGCACAATCATAGCAACATTGCAATGCTCCTGGTTCCTTTCGGCAAAATGCAATCCATTCATGAGAATATGGTGGAATAAAAAATCAGGATCGAAAATATGCATTTCCAATATTAGCCATGAACAAGTTTGAAAGAGACTCTGATTCCAGGTGCTACGACATCTATTTCGAAGGAAATGCATCGAAAGAAAATCCGAGCGATCGATGATAACGAAACTGGACCAGCGGGGCAGGGGTCTCGTTCCGCGACGCTGCTCCAAAACCGCGCAACCGCCCCGGGAAACCTCCTCGCGTTGTGCGGTTTCAACGTGGCTCGACGGGAGGAAACCGATTTCGAGCCGATAATGACTGGGGGGGTGGCGGCTCTGCGGAGCGGGTTGCATAAGGCCCGAGGCGCCGATTAGGCAGCCTCGGATCGCGGGCGCCTGTAAGTGACCCGTTAAATTGGAAAGCTCTTTTCCCGCTCCGCCGCGCGCCGCCTCAGCGTCCAGTCAGCAAACCGCGCGCACGTTGCCAGTCCAAGGGCTGGATTCGTCGTCGCCGAGACGTCAAACGGGCTAACGGGTCAGTTTCGCTGGTCATCGAGCGAAGTTTTTATGAGTCAGTTTTTTTTAATTCAAAACTTCCTTTTGAATTAAGCAAAAATCTGATTAAATCAAGAGTATTCTTTCTTGTCAGTGTTTTCAAGAGTCTGGACCCTAGGTCCAATGTGTTTTCTTTTTTCCAGTGCGTCGGCCAGACTTCGTTGAGATGGCGAGCCATTCATTCGCTTGAGCGCTCTACTACAGAAAAACTATAGTGGCAAAACGAAAACAAGAAGCGCCTGCCTATCGGCTGAGCGCTTGAAAGGAAAAAAAAAAGTTCTGGATTTTCCCAATTTCTGCGACATCCTGTACATTGTAAAATCCTTGATGTGTCCCGATACTCCCGGATCGTGGCAACCCGGCGCTTCGCCCTGATCCGGGCAATTTTCCCCGCTTTGACGGGCTCATCCCGCCGTAAATCCGCGACTTAATCTGGGGCAATCGACGCTTCGGAGAGGTGTCGCCCTTCGAGGCACGCCGCGCCGGCGGAGGCAGTTACGCGGTTACGACTTCGAAACCGCGTCAACGACGGAGTTCGCTCCGTCGTATCCACTACAGAGCGGATTGAACAGAGGCGCGTTGCAGGTTGCGGCAACTCCTCAATAAGGTGCTAATATTTGGAGGAATTAGAAGGGTAGGGATGTGCATTACTTTAGCCTACTATCAGGATTGCCA